TTTTGCCCGATGTCAATAGCTTCATTTGCTTTTTGAGCCACGGTCAACTTCCGTGCAAACGCATCGATGCGTTTTTGGCCGACAGCAAATCACAAATCAAAACAAAGCAGCCAACGATCGATGGTCATGACAAAAGATTTTAATTGAATTTGAAAACGCAATGAGACGTGTATGGGCAGGGGATCGAATCGAATCGGATTGGATCGCATGGAATCGTTTGGGATCGATTGCTTTTGTGCGGGTGGCAAGGAGGGAGGAGGAGGCGAAGCGGGGAGGGTTACGCGTTCCGCATAACAATTGTCAACAAATTTATGAGCACGTCAGTTAGGGAACCTGGAACCCAAACCAGCAAGCCGTGCCTACGAAAATACTAAATTAAAATGCTCATGGCAGCTTACTACTATTTGTGGTGCACAGAGAAAAAAAAGGTAAGGGAAAAATAATTTTATTCACTTGTTTTATAGCCTCAAAAATTAATCAAAGCGTTAATAAAGTATTTCACATGCAACTTTTTAAGCATTAGTGCATAATTCTTAGGTTTCACTTCAAAATGAACCCTCTAATTATTTTCTGAGTGCATATCTTGCAAACCTAAACAAAAATCAACTCGATCGTAACGCTGGATGATCAATGTATCTCTTTAAAAGTGAGGATGGGCGAATCATTTGTTTGTCTTTCAGCCTCGCTGTGTTTGCATTCAACTCGGATCGAAGACCAGCAGCCGCATTAATGTCAACGAGCCACTTCGATTTCCGATTTTAATGACTCTACCAATCGTCGGGCCCCCATTTCAGTTTCTGACCAGAAGAAAACAACGCCCTTAAACGGTGAAAATCCAACGAAACCAAATTCCAACAGCTATGGTGGCAGGCGAAAAACCATTTTCCAATAATCTAATTTTAGATGAAATGAAACACATTTCAAATTTTCATGAAAAATGTCGGACGGAGTGAAAGAGAAAAAATTCTGTATCCGAGAAATGCCGAGGAACACATTCGGCCAACTATATATACACGTTTTCAAGCACGTATATATATAATTATATATGTATGTAGATACATATATCGGCCGTATAAACATTCACGTTGCGGGTGTACGTAATTTGATTTTGGTCTGCTCTTTTCTGGCTTTTATCTCGCAGGTTTCTCGATGCACGAGGTATACAAACTTGGATGCGTATCTGACAGATATACACCTTGAGATGCAGTAACAGCAAGCACAATTTCTATATTTATAACACCCAGGTGTAGGCCCCAGTGAGTTTGAAAACAAAAACTAGGAATCTATCATATTAAGAGGCTGTTGGCGGTTGACTGTTTGCTGTTTGCTGCTGGCTGTCCTCAGCCCAGGTAAACAAACGTCATGCGGAAGATGTGATATCTGCGAGACCAAAATGATATCTCAGACTGCGATATAGTACGTGCAGTTATGCTTGGACGCCGGTAATCCGAGATCCGAGAGCTGCTCGGGCCTCTTGACGTAGTCTTTTTTTATTCACACAGTCTAGGCACACTTCAACTGTGCAAAATGCGACGACTATGAATAGCGTAGAGCCGACTCGCAAAAGCACAACAGATACAGATACCGCTGAGATACAGATACAGATTCGGGCGAAGAAACGTGCTCCAGCGGCGTGTGTCATAAAGCTATCTAACAGATACAATGCGAGTGTTTCGCTGGCGGCCGAAACTCATTCTTCGTTTTGTTTCGATTGGGGCGTGAGTCAGATCCAAAAAACAAACAACACTCGTCAAAATAACAACAAAAATTTATGTCAGCAGTGCCAAAAGCAATGAACGAATGAAGACGATAAAAAAGGCGGCAAATAAACAGAAGGAATAGTATATACGAATATCTATATAGATGTACAGTGTGAATCGTGAGTTTAGGATAGAATGTCAATTCCAGTTCAGAGAGCAAAAAAGCCCATAATTTTTACGTTTAAATGTACTTTAACTAAAGTAAATATTATCACAAAAAAACACGTTGTATAAAAAAATATTTTAAGCATCCAGATGTTTTTCAGGAAGGTATTTAACCTAGAAAACCGGAATAAAATGCAAATTTGTATATTGAAAAAATATGCATCGCGCACCAATTTAAACCAAATTGATTTGAGCAAATTGGTCACCAAGTCATTAAATATTGATTTAGAAAAACGTGTTTAGGTCTCCTAAATCTTTGTCGTGCTTGTACTGTCTTACAGCTGTGAAACGCACAGTAAATACATAGATATTTCCACACAGACAGCTATTCAAATGTAATCGCAAGCTGTGCATTTCAAGTGAACGGGCGAGCGCCCAACAGGTAGCCAACGGATGATTGCGAGTAGAACCCCAAGCCCAAAACCCGAAGCAAACATTGCTGCACACCCGCAATAATAAAAGCAACACACAAAAAAGCAGAAGCAAAAACAGCAACCGCAACCTCAAAAAGCGGCTATTGCTGATTTTAGTGTTGCTTGAGGTGAGGCAGGAACCTAATTAGATCTCTCGCAATATTGCTGACAGACCGAAAATATATGCAGGTACATTTCAAAAATGTTTTAAGCTACTTAACCTTTTTTTAGTAACATACAAAGTCAGCAATTTGCTTGCATGTTCTCTGAAAGATTAAAATAAAATTGCAAAGATTTGAAAGAATACAAATCAATTGGCATTTTTGATTTTATTTGATTTTAAATAATTCCTGCCAATTAAAATGCAATGGGGTAAAGTGATACGAAAAGAAAAATGATTTGGCATAAATCGGATAACATGTTATTCAATTATTTATAATCCAGTGGCATTTTGTTAAAAGAATGACATGTAAATTCAAGTCAAGACAATAAATTGTATACCCTTTTATAAAAGGGTAAAACATAAACTCTTTTTGGGTTGCCCGGCCGACCGCATGTGAATGTTGAGTTTGGCCCGCATGTCAAGCTAACGAAAACAAAAACACAACCCAGCGACGACAGCAATTGAAAAGAGAAAGTTGCAAAATGAGAAAAACACAAAAACTTCTAGCAAGTTGAAAAGTTGAAAGCCGTTAGCGGTGGCAGGCAGTAGTGGGATATATATTCACTATAGTGGACAGCGGTCAATTCGGGTTCCCAGGTCCCAAATCCAGTCCGACACCCTCCCACTAAGCTGATAAGCCAGCGAGAGGTGGGTTCGAAATCTCGGTTTGTTTTGTATATTTTTCTCTTCCTCTCGGAATTTTGAGTCTGGTGGAACGAGTTTTACAAATTGTCAACGCTTTGCTTTTAGCAAATACAATTTGTAGACAGGCAAACTAGTTTGCAGCTATGCCAGAAACGAAACCAAAACAAGAATGAACGCTTTTGGGCGAGTTTTCCGACTACAAGATACCTGGTAATCAATAATCTGATCGGTCTAGATAAGGCAGAAGAATTCTTGGATATTTTCTTAATTAAGAAAAGATCCCGATCTTGCATCTTATTACTTAGATTATTTATAATGGCAGGACGCGATAAATAGTGACATCTCATAGTAAGAATAATAATTATAAAATGTAGTAATATATACTGGCCTCATCGATAAGATTTGTAAGTTCAAGAGTGCTCTAGTGAACTGAAGTACTTAAAAAAGTCTGCAATTTTTTCTTGCCTACTAATTTTCGATCTTTAATAGTTATTTTTGCATACCCTGACACTCTAGCGGTATACCTAGCAATCCGCAAATACCGCACTACGAATATCTGAATCTGTGTATCTGTGCAACATAATTTTGTCATTACGAGGCGACACACACACCCTCGTGACCGGCCTGCATATGGGCAACAGATGTTGGGCAAATACAGAAACGAGAGCTCCGATATACGAGATACAAGATACAAGATGCGACCAGGTAGTGACACGCCCCCGCCCCTTTTCCGCCCCGAATGTTGACTTTTGTTGGTTTGTCTTTAAGCGTGTTTGCTGAGTTTGTTTTTTTTTGTGATTTTTTGGTTTTTGAGTGGAGGCGTGGGCCGCGGCGGCGATTCATGCATCTTTCGGATAAGTTTGCTACATTTTGACTACACAGAAAAAAATAATTTCACTTCAATATAAAACTACATACTTTCTATAAATTCCATGTTTTTATATCTTATCAAATTAACATCCTTATATTCGTTCAAAATTGTCATGTAAACCCATGAAATGGTTTATATCATTTGAACGTTTTTCTCTGTGTGGGGGTTTCCCCCCTGGGGTTTCAAATCTCTGTCTCCCCGCTCTCGAAATCTTCCTCTCCTTTTTGTGTACGAATGGCCGAGTCAACAAAGAATTCATAATAAGAACAACAAAGGCTGCACAGGGCAGTCAAGTGTGGGGCCAAAAACACAAAAGGAGAGAGCGCGGAGAGAGTTTAAGTAGTGTGCGCTCGCGAAGGGGCGCACAAAAAGGAAGTAACTAAAAATAACAAACATCTCGTTTGGGTTCCTCCGATGTAAGGTGGAATGAACTCAGAACCCGCGATGGAGAAGAGGAGAAAAGGAGACGCCGAGGAGACAAACCAGACACGCCAAGATCCATGCCCCAAAACTGATTGAACTACAGTGATCACATGTTAATCGATTCCCAAAAGCTGCCATACTGACAAAATTGAAAATTAAAAATGAAATCACCTACTAAAAATAAAATCTTTCTCACCCAATTTTGTTCAGGGGTTCTTAAAGAAAATGTGTTGTATTTAATGCCTGCAAAACTTTGTAATACATGTTTACAATAAATCTTGTCAGATTCCAGGAATTAAAATGCTTTTTAATTGTTTTTCTAACAATAAAGGGAAAGGTATAAATCAAAAAGCCGATGCTGGTCTTTGTGTTTTTCACTACAGTTATATAAAAGCTAATTTCCTTAAGCTACTCATTCTTTCGCACTTTCAATCTTTAATTATGCAGTCAAAGTAATTATTTTAAAAAATATCCTAAGTTTTATTCCTAATACTTTGATGGACAGGTATATGATTTGTTTTCTTGCTATCTAGGGGGTTTCCCAGGACTCGGCGACTTACCTTCATCGAGCAGACGTTCGACGTGGGTGAAGACGTTGGGGAAGGCGGCCAGCTGCTTGCGGTCCTTGAGCAACTGGGCCAGATAGTCGGCGATGCTTTGTGTGCTCTGCTGCTGCTGCTGCGGGGTCAAATGCGGCTGGGGGGCGAGGGGCACGACCACTTGATGAGGAGCCTGCTGCGCCTGCGCCTGCGCTTGAGCCTGTTGCTGCTGCGCGACCGCAACAACCGCTGCTGCCTGTTGCTGCAAGTGCTGCTGCAGTTGCTGTTGCGCAACGGCTTTGCTCTCACAGACACTCATTTTTTTGTTGTGTTTGTGTGTGGGTGTTTGTTGTTCGGGAGGACTTTTTGTTTTGTTCTGGACGAGATTCTGGTTTACAACTTTGAAACTTTGACGTGGTCTCTTTACTTTCTTTACTTATTGCACTTTTTGCTACTTTTAACACCTTTCTGTGGGAGTTGGAAAATCCATTAAGATTTGTACGCGAGCAATATTCAAAACGGAAAACGAAATGAAAACAACTCCACCCAAAAGTATTTCTTTTTCTACGATCGCCAGCAACAACAACGCAGAGAGAGTGAGAGAGCGCAGCAAGTCGAAAACGAAGACAAAAAATTCCTCGGTCTCTCACGCATACACGGGCAAAATACAGTAAAACTGTATATGCGACGGAGATGAATGAAAGCAGAATGTCAAAATACCTCTCTCTCTCACTGGCTCTCTCCCTCGCTCATTTGGCTGCTGCAACAGCAAATACAACAAAAAAAATTTAATTTTTCTTCTATGCAAATTATTGTTCTTATTTTCAATGGTTTATGGCTAGAAAAGGAGGAGTTCCTTTGTCTGGATATCCACGGAGGGGCAGAAGCCTTGAAATTAACTCGAAATGCTTTAAATTTCGCAGAAATATGCACAGTTGCTGATTATGTATTTGTTGTTGCTGCTAGCTGGCGTGGGCTTTTATTTCGTTTTACTCTTGAATGTTATTAAAACACACTTTGATGGGGAATCCTTTTTGTTTATTTTATATGTTGTGTATTCGAGACGGGGAACAGCGAACGGATCTCGGGACTTTGCTAAACGATCACTCCTAGTTTTAGTTTCCTACGACCGATTTCGAATTGAACCGAGAGAACTGGTTGCACAAAGTAGAGACTGACAACCACAACCGATCGAAGCAAAATTCAAAAGACGAATGAAAATGAACTGAACGCAAAGCGGAATGAACGTGCAAAACAAACAAAAACAAAATGATCAATTTTAAAACGTTTCTGAACTGGTTCCAGGGTTGGGACAGGGTGTCTGAAATCAAGGTGGTGTTTTCATAGCGCTCTCGCCTCTTCGTAAGAGGCATGTGACATCATAAAGATTGTTTTCTACTATAAAATTATATAAAACTCCTTACTTAAAACAAAAATGTATAACCACTTTTATGTTAAGCAACAAGGCTTGTAATACAAATTAGTTTTTCTATTTTTTGGTACATACACAGAACATAAGAACTAAGATATCAGAAAAAAAATTTTAAACGAGTTATTATCATAACACAAAATTAAAAAAATATTTAACAATTTTAGATGTTTAAAAATAAAATCAACCATTTTAATGAATCTAACCTAGAATATTAAACAATTAAATCAAAATCTATGCAGAACGTACGATAATTCAAAAGCTGTGACGTCAATATTTCTCATGTTTGACTCTCTTGCCACCATACACTAACAGCATTAATGATCGCTCACCGTCGTTGCCACCTCGTACAGATTTGCGCAGCTGGTCAATTTATTTAATATATTTTCCTGAAAAATGGCTAAATTCAATCGAATAAGTAATCAATTATTCCTAAATTATGTAAACACGTAACTAGACAAAGAATTTTTGATATTATTTAAGTGGTTAGTTGTTAATCGACCACAAACGCAGAGTGTTGCCACCTGGTCGCTTTGTCGGCAACACTTTGGCGCGTTGGCGTTGAATATGAATCAATTAAGACGGCAGCAGCGCACGGAAATTGCTGGCTGATTAGAACGAGCGGCATTTTGTTTAGAGGCTCATATATGTGGGGGCTTACATCTGGCCCCAAAACACCATGCAAATGAGACCCCAAGTCCGTAATGGCCAAATGTTGGTGTTAACTTGGTTAACTCCGTCGCGAAATGTATGTGGGAAAATTGGCATTCGCGAGCGTTTCGATGGACGCACCATATAAGCGACCCTAGGCCGGCAACAACTTTTACTTTCCATCGCAAAAAGACACTTTTCGCTGCCTTCCGTATTTCACATAAACAGCACACAGGAAAAAACAACTTTACCATATGCCCGATATCTGAATATTTAAAATTGAAAGATTTTGTGTAACTTATATTTATTGCACCGGGACATCTGCCACATATTGCTATAAGTGTACAACGAATTTTGGGCAAACTTTGGTGGTAATTATTCGCAGTGCAGCGGCACCCGCATGCACTTAAATGAGACGTGAAAGTTTGGAGTGGACAAAGTGGACATTGGATTCGGGTTGGCCATTCCATTGGAAAGCAGGCGCCCACCACCGGACCTCCTCACCTGGCCAAGTTTCTTAGCCTGGCCACAAGTCCCACCAAATTCGTGTGCACTTGGCTCAAGCCGATCGTGTCGGATCGTATTGTATCGGTCTGTGTGTGGGCCGACATTATATTATACGACCCCATTATACAGTTTTACTGCCATCGAAATATGTGTCAATGTGCGCGGCGATTGAGACATTGTATGCTTATGGATTTCCGATTCGAATCTCTGGGGCAAAAGACCAAAGACCGAGGCCCTTTCCAATCCGCACACCCACGGGGCCAAGTATTTCTCTTTGGACATCTGGCTGATCCAAAGTGCCAACTTTTCCGTGGGCCGCTAATCTCTGCAGGGCTTTGGAATTTTCCTTTTTTCGGTCTTGGTCCATATGTGGTGTTTTGCTTTGTGTGTAGGTCGTTTTAGGTAGCACTTTCGGTTTTGAAAAACCGAAATGGTTGCTAAACAAAAGTTTTCTCGTAGCTGTAAAGTGTGGCGAGAAACTATTCCAAATAGAGATCTCAATTCAAAACACAACATTTTATTTTTTTTAAAGATTATTTACCAAAACTTTAATATCGGTCAACACAACATCTTAATCATTTAATCGCAGCCTTTAAGAAGAGTAAGTTATTACTCTTTTACTACGGACAGAAAAAAATTGCATTTGAAATGCATTTCAATTGTTTGACCAATTCGCCGCTTATAAGGAAATGGTTCCACCGATTGACAAACCGCCAGGTGAGGCCAACACTCCGGGAATCCTTTTTAGTCAGCTGCACGTTTTGGGCCGAATGCAAATTTGGCCAAGACATTTAATGCCTTTGTGCATTAAATGACAGATTAAACTTTTTTAATTTACCGCCGACACAGAAGTCTGCGGTGTGAGAGTGGGTAATTAGCAATATGTTGGCCAAAAGCCAGGCAGGCGTCCATTAACCAGTTTCCAGTTGTTTCCATTACGCATGACACGCGGCCGTGTGGGCGCCTCCGGTTTTCCAGCTTTTGAGCATTTCAGTTTTTGAGGCCCACAAAGAACCCGAGCTGCAACACCCACACAGATGCGGTGTATCTGTCAGATAAGCCCGCACACCTACATATGCAGGTCGAACAGCCACCAAAAAGGTCTAAACATATACACTTTTGACCCCAATTGGTCGAGTAAGCGGTGGAACTTTTAATCCTCAGAGAAAGCGAAAACTAAATAAAATTCAACATGTATGAAGATGTAAATGGACCAAAAAAATAATAATATTAAAAGAGAAATGTAAATTTTGGAGTAAATTTAAATAAGTTTTCTTATGAGCTCTGGAAGTTAAGTTTTCGGTGACGGACTGTTCATGGAAAACTAAGAAATATCTGATTGGTCAAAAAATCGAGCCTCACCGAAATGGCAAGTTAAACTAAGTGATTTCAGGAATGTAATCACAATGGTTTAGCATTAATTGTTGCCAAGTTTTGGGCTCTATCAAATTTTGTTGCGGGTCACCATTTGTTTATGTTTCTAACGACACTTTGGTCGCCTGTGCGAATGCGTTTTCTGTGTCGCACGCCGCGTCCCACAGGTGGACCCAAACCTGTCCCCCGCCTTCCGTTTTCCGAGTCCATTCATAAAGTTTCCACTTTGCATATTGTGCCCGACCAGCTGATTGGAGCCAACAAGCCGCAGACTAAGCAAAACTAAGCGAACCACGATCCGCAAAGTGCGCATGAATGAGTAAACTCAACAACGCTGGCTTTTTCATTCACAGAAAAGTCGTTAGCTTGGCTTTTAGAAACAAGTGTTAATGCCGAGATGAGTGGGCGGGGCAGCGGAGGGGCGTGTGTGGGCGTATGGCGTTGTGGTCTTCAGCATTCGTCATGCCCACGCCCCGAACAACATCTAATTTGCTGATACATTTCCATGGCTGCCAGGAGCTGCGCACTTACAGTCGAACGTCTATAAACCGAAAAAAGTTCAATCTGCAGTTAAGTAATTTTCAAATTTGTTATAAACGAAATTAGAAACAGAACTTTAACTTTAAAAAAGTTGCGTTAATTTCTAACTATCAATCTATAAAGCAAATTATGCGTTATCAATTGATAGATCTATAATCCAGTTAAAGGAAACTGAATTTTTAATCTAAGGTAAGCTTAAATGAAAATATTTAGGAGACTTGTAATATCATAACCATTTTTCGGTTAAGTAGGTGATGGAATCTGAAAAAAGGGGGCGGGAGGAACGAGTTTTATTGGACAATTGATCACAGTCCAATGCTGTTTCAATTGGCAAATGCATGTGCAGTGGGCGCCGGCAGTCAGCAATTGATTAAGCACCCGATTATCGATTAGTTGGGCCAACACAGCGCGTCGCCACAGTTTTAGAGGAACCGAGCGAGCGTGGGCCATAAACTGGCACAATTTAGCGGGCGAAACACGAAATAAAAAGCGCGATCGCCCAAATTTGGGGAGGCGACTCAACTCGTCTCGACGGCGACAACAATAAACATTTGAAACAAACAAGCCACAAATAAGGAGAAGCCACATCCGCATCGAGAGATCGAGTGGGATGCGAGTGGATGATGATGCCCGGCCAAATGGTTACGTGAATTCGTGAAATGGAAACATTTACTTTTATATCTTTTGCCTATATGTATACACACTGAAATAAAGAAGCAGATTTACAATCGCAATGGTATCTCTGCCTAGATCTACAACTAACGCATAAACTTCTTGGCCTGGTCTCGGTTGACCTGCTTGAAGTGTCGCTGCTTGGAGGCCGATCCCTCGTTCATCTGCTTGTAGAATCCGAATCCGCCACCGCCCACCCGCTTCTCGGGTCGCTCTCGCTTAGCCGCGCCCACTTTCAGGTCGACCACGGGCGGCACTAGGAATCCAAAGCTCTTCGCAACCGCCTGCAGGTCCAAGGTGTTCACGTTGAAGATCTGCTTCAGCTGGTGCGAATCGTAGGCACGCACGTATGACTTGAACGCCTCCTTGGCCGACTGGTTGAGGAAGTAGTTCTTGGCGATCAGCTTCTCCAACTGCAACGGACAGAGAAAGGTTTGTAAACGATAAGTATAAAACCCATTTGGCTCAAAGAATTGGGGTAATATGGTAATATGGGGTAAAGCACCCACCTGCAGTTGAATATCGGCAATCTTTTGCCAGGAGAACTCGAACTCGTTGAGCGGCACCTTGGCGGCCTTAAGGTAGCGCAGGAAGCCCAGCTCCTCAGGTCGCATTAAAAGCAAAGCGTGACCCGAGGTGCCCGATCCTCTGGCCGTTCGGCCCACCCTGTGAATATACTCGCGGGGATCATCTGGGGGATCGTACTGCACGATCCAGTCCACCTGCGGAATGTCCAGTCCACGAGCCGCCACATCAGTGCACAGCAGAATTCCCGACTCGGCGTTGCAGAACTGGAAGAAGGTGGTCGTTCGTTTCGTCTGCTTCTGCTTGCCATGGATGGAGGTCACCGGCAGGTCAATGTAGTTGAAGAGTTCGTGGTGGTACTTGACAGACATGCAAGACGAAAAGAACACCATAACCTTCTTCTTGCGATTCTTCTTGAGGAAAGTGAAGAGGACAAGCAGCCGTTTTTCTGAGGGGCAAACGATGTATCCCTGTTCGAGTCCATCGACGGTCGCAGTGTCCTGGTTATCGTGCACGCCCACATAGATGGGTTCCGACTTCAGTGCCAACTTGGACAGGGCTTCGATGCGAGCCGTTTGCGTTGCCGAAAACAGCATTGTCTGGCGGCGTTCTAAGGAAATACAAGGTTATAAAATAAGTATCTTTTATGTTTTGAGCTCATCTTTACTCACTTGGCAGAAGATTGATAATCTGCTTCAATTCCTCCTCGAAACCAATCTCCAGTATCCGATCCACTTCATCAATAATCAGGCACTGCAAGTTCTTGTACAGAAAATCGGGAGAGTTTTGCAGATGATCCAGAAGACGACCCGGTGTGGCCACCAGAATGTTGATGCCCTTGCCCAGCTTCTCGCTTTCCACCTGGCGATTGGAACCGCCCATTACCAAGCCGTAGGTGTGGTGGTGGTGCGCCATCAGCTCCTTGAGTACTCCGAATGTCTGCATGGACAGCTCTCTCGTCGGAGAGATGATGATCACACCGGTACCATTGCGTGGCATAAAACGCAGTTTGTTTATCAGCTCGACGGCGGGAATAAGGAAGGCTAAGGTTTTGCCGGAACCCGTCTGGGCAGCACCCACAAGGTCGCGACCTTTTAGCAGGGGTGTAAGGGATTTTGCCTGGATCTCCGTCATTTCAGTGAAGCCCATTTCTTTGACGGCTCGCAATGTGGCCTCGGAAACGGCTCCTTTCAATGAGGCAAAGCTCCGATCATCCGAGTCCCGGTAATCCAAGGCAGCTAGAGAGGATTCCACAGTAAATGGCTCATCGTCTTTCGTTGGTTTGCCGTTCTGTGGCTTGGATTTGTTGGGCAACAGCTTGGACTTCTTGGCGGGCACGGGCTCATCTTCATCTGCAATAAGTATACTTTATTATTTGGGGTTTACCTTCCTTGTGCTTAACATTATTTTGTTTCTTTCAGTGGATTTTAAAATGCATTTCATGCCTGCCCTTGCCAGAATTAACTCACTGGTCAAAAGCTGCTCAAATTCGCCTTTAAATCATCATCATTTTATTAATCATTTAAACCAATATTCTAAATCTTTGCAATTCTGTCGTTTTTTATTTATTACTGACCTTCTTGCTGTTCATCGTCTTCACTGCCGCTCGCTACATCCTCATCCTCCTCATCTTCTACTTCGTCGTCCACATCCTCGTCTTCTTCTTCCTCCTCAGCTTCATCAGAATCTGAATCCGAGTTGGCCACCTGAATTTGTTGCTTCTTTGGCGGCTTTTTCTGTTGTTTCTTCTTTGGCAGCGGCGCCTCTTGGAAATCCTCCTCTAAATCATCGTCTGATGATTGCAAAGTAAACATTATATTCGTGGCTGACTTAAGATAGGATCCAATTTATACCCTCTTCCTTTTCCACAAGCTTTTTGCTTGGCTTCGGCTGGTTCTTACTGGGCTTATTCCCATTTTGTTTTTGTGGCTCTTGGACTTGTGGCTTGTTTTTACCCTTTTTCTGCGAGAGCTCCTTCTTCTTCTTCTCCCGCTTTACAATCTTCTTCATCAGCAGCTTCTCCCGAATCGACATAATGCAGTAAAAATTGCCTTCTTAATATACTTTACTGGTTAAAAACAGAATTTCAGAATATAATACAGCGCGCACGTGTTGCAGCCTGAATTTGCCATTCACCCCGAAGCAAACGATATTCGCACAGCTGTGTTTATCGATAGTTGCGGGGATATCGTTTCCAAAAAAAAAGGAATTTGAAAACAATTAAATATTTTAAATTCATATATATTTAACAATTTAATATGAATAATTCATTTTTAAAATAAATGTTACTTCTTCCAAACTTACAAACCTGCCCTCAGTTTTATTATTATTTGGCTTGTTATCACCAAAATAAAATGACGAGGGGAATCACATTCTCATATCATTAGATAAGGAGTTTTGCTTGCTTAAGAAGAATCACCTTTTTAAAGGGTTTTAGCCTTGAAATCAATTGAGAAACCAAATCTTGTTTCTGGTTTTTTTTATTCATCATAAAAAAAATCACATTTAAGGCACTGAATTATCAAAAAAGGAAAGCGAATCACAATTTCTTCTCCAAACATAACAAAAATGCAAACATTTATATATACCATCTGATCTTAGTCCTCATAAGGTTGAATTATTTAGGGTTAACTCTAATGTGACATTATCTGCTCCACATTCTTGCGCAGATCGTTGCGACCACAGTCGCCCAAAGCGCGACAAAGCCGAACAAGAAAGTGTTTGGGATCGTGGCAATCGTCCTCCTCGATGAGCTGCAGTAGTCTAAGAATCTGTGACTTGAGGTCGTGTGGATGCCGCTCCTCGATGCTATCCATCGTGCCTTCGCCAATGCCCGCCGAACGGCCCAACCGTCGCCAGTAGCGTCCTAATTCCTGAGATATCTTGTTAAAGACAGCCGTTCGCTTGCGATCCGTAAAGGCTACCGGAGTGACATAATTCTGGACAGCAGGAGTGGGTTGCACAACAGCAACAGAAGGATGAGCTGGTGAACTCGGGCCAATTCGGAGTTGCTGCCGCAGTTCCTCGGCCAGCCGAAGCTCCTGATACAAATTAACAGTGTTTTCCCGGAAGTTTTCGGGCGGTTTATAGCTGTCTAGGGCCTCGACTACTTTCGGTTGATTGCCGGAAATTCGCCGAAGTGGCTCCACATTATCTTCGGCCAGTTCGTCGGCTCTTTCTAGACAGTCAATCAGATCCTCGATGGAACGAATGCAATCCAATCGTCGCCGCGAGCCAATCTCACCGACGAACAAGGCCTTCAGCTCCTCTATGTCAGCCGTGCATTCTTCGATAGCTATTTGTTTAAGGATGTCGTAGCTCCAGTGGTTGCCGCCCGTCATCGTGATAAGTTTATCTAGGTTCCGGTTGCAAGCGACGGTTTTTACGTCGATCCAAAGTTGCCAAGCTAAAGATATCAGTTTCTGTTGCAGTATGACCGTATGGCCAAACAATGTCTTATCAGTCCGATATCGATCAACAGATTTGTTGACAATGACGACCACCGACAGCAGAGAGTGGCATTCCTATAAACATTTATCGATAGTTATCGATGTTTGTTCCAGCTCTACACAAAGCCTACAATATATGGAGATCTCTATAAACGTATTTGTTTTCCTCGTCTACCTTTTCGTCGTGATCTACCTCCAGCATTTTGTGAACAAGTATACGGAGTTTGTGCGCAGCCTTTAAATGCTGGGCCTGCAGACTTACGCCAGCTCCTCGGAGGGTGAATCCGACCACGAGGATGCCGCCGCCTCCAAACCCGATTCTCAGCCCGTTCCCGCTCATCTTCAACCCGTGGACAAGACGCACTCGCTCTCGACGACAATCGCCATCTGCGCTGCCCCAGCGGTGGTGCCCCTTGGAGCCTCGGCCGTGCCACGAACTCTGGATCCCACGCTCAAGGAGGTCACCTACAATCCGCGCTATGAGGAAATGTATGCGCCGGTAAAGGGTCCGGAGCACCCTGAGCTCACCATGCAGCAGCGGGCGCCCAGGAACACACTCGCCGGCTACGTGGAGAAGGCTCACATCAATGCTTTTGAGTTTGAAAACCAGCGACGCACTTTCCACACCTACGGCTATGCTTTGGATCCCAGTGTGGACGAGCAGGCCGATGGAAAGTCGTATGTTGGTGACCTGCAGTCCGCTTACGACGACAACGGCAAAACGGTGTTCGAGGCTCCGAAGGCCAAGAAGCAGCGCAAACAGGAAAAGAACGACCATCCGGAGGACATCGAGGGATTCCTGGGACCCTGGGGCAAATTCGAGAACGAGGTGACGGTGGCCAAGCCTAACGAACAGGAGCGCGCCGAGCTGGACGAGTTGCTATCCAAGCGGCATAAGCGCGGACGAATTCCCGAGGACAAGCCGCTCGAGGAGAAATCCACACTGCACAGTGAGTATGCGAAAATTCAGTTAGCCATCGAATATTTATCTTTAATCCCGCTTTTTCTCTCCCTTTCCAGTCAAGGATGCCTACGACTACCAGGGCCGTTCGTACCTGCATGCTCCGCACGATCTGGGCGTGAATCTGCGCTCCAATGCGCCGCCACCCAAGTGCTTCCTGCCCAAGGCGCACATACACACCTGGACGGGCCACAACAAGGGCATTTCCTCCATCCGCTGGTTCCCCAAGACCGCTCATCTCCTGCTCTCCGGGTCCATGGACTGCCGTGTCAAGCTGTGGGAGGTTTATGGCGAGCGGCGTTGCATTCGCACCTTTTCCGGGCATCGCCAGGCCATCAAGGACATTGCGTGGAACAACAGGGGCACCAACTTCTTGTCCGCCTCGTACGATCGCTACATAAAGCTGTGGGACGCGGAAACGGGGGATGTGGTCTCCCGTTTCACCACGCGCAAAATGCCATTCTGCGTGAAGTTCCATCCAGATAATAGCAAGCAACATTTGTTCGTTGCCGGTACATCCGACAAGAAAATCATTTGCGTAAGTAACCCTATAAGGTGCAGCCATTAAATGCTAATCAAAATATTTTTCATTCCACAGTGGGACACTCGCAGCGGAGATATTGTGCAGGAGTACGACCGGCACTTGGGCTCTGTTAGCACTATCACCTTTGTGGACGACAATCGGAGATTCGTGACCACCTCGGACGACAAATCGATGCGAATCTGGGAGTGGGACATTCCTGTGGACATGAAATACATTGCCGATCCGACCATGCATTCCATGCCGGCCGTCACTTTGGCGCCGAATGGCAAGTGGATGGCCTGCCAATCGCTGGACAACAAGATCGTCATCTTCTCCGCCCTTAACCGCTTCAAGATGAACCGCAAGAAGACCTTCACCGGGCACATGGTTTCTGGCTACGCCTGCCAACTGGACTTCTCGCCGGACATGAGCTACTTGGTGTCGGGCGACGGTGACGGAAAGTGCTACATTTGGGACTGGAAGACGACGAAGATGTACAAGAAGTGGCAGGCGCACGACGGCGTCTGCATCAGCGCACTGTGGCATCCGCACGAGGCCAGCAAGGTGGTCACCGCCGGCTGGGATGGCCAGATTAAGTACTGGGACTAAAGCTCAGCACAAAATATCGTAGATGTAAGATAAACCGATTTGTAAATTAACTGATAATATTGCATACCTATTATGTTCAGATCGAAGTGTTTTACTGCCTTTGGGGAGATGCTAGTAAGGTAAGCTATTAATCCACAGTGACAAGCCCCCTTTTTTGAGATGTAGCCTTTATTTACCTTGGGTCGTGATAAGAGGACGCCTGCGCAGTGCGTGTGAAAACGCAAACAACTCGACGGATGGTCCGCCCACCACCCAGTCGCCCAGCCACCCCCACAAGCAAGCCAAAACATATGCGACTGTTGGCCAAAATCGATATTTTCGACGAAAGGCGCACAAACGTTAAGCGGACAGCAAAAGGCCTGTTAAAAATCAGGAAAAGGGATACAAACAGAGATTTTTACTGCGAAAAGGAGATGAAGTAAAGGACGAACGGAAGGCGCAACCGGAGCATCAGCCAGACACCCGAGAATCCTGCCAGCGGCCATGGCCAAGCCCCACTCGGATGCGGACGCCTCTGGCCTGGGCTACGCCTACCAGCTGCCGTCCGGCGGCCTGCTGCTGCGCCTCAAGTCGTCCCTCTCGCAGTTCAGCGACCTGTTCAGCGACTTCAGCAGGTACATCTCGCCCGCCTACCACCACGACCGCTGCGAGCGGTCCGTCCACATGCGCCTCTACTCGATGCACAAGCGCGAGTTCGTCATGGTCTTCCTCGGCTTCTTTACCTGCTTCGGCCTGGGCATCGTCATCGGGCTGACGGGACCGCCCATCACCAGCACCTCCACGCTGACCGCCCAGCAGATCCTGGCCAACACCTCGCTGGCCAACAGCCCAGCAGTCCTGGCCACAGGACCCTTTGCCATGAAGTCCCCTCTAACCACCACCTACTCGCAGCAATTGTGGCTCATCGCCAAGTTGGTGACGGATAACAATGATGGTGGGTCAACAGATATCGTTTTACTTATAATGTAATACATAATTTTTGATTTTTTTCAGACGAACGCTACGACAAGAGTTTCCAAGTAAGCGTCTCCATCGATGGAATCAATGAGCAGCACAAACCGCAGAATGTCCTCGGATCCGGAGTTTCCCATAACCGAACAAGGCACTTGGTTTGCGTTCGAAATGACTGCGAGGAGTTCACGGTGATGCATCTGGGATTCCTTGACTACGCCCACTATATTATCACTGTGCGCTTTTACGGATTGGAATCCTTCCATCAGAAGTACAATATACGGAGCATTACATTCTACGTGAGTTGCTCCGCATTCCACCAATGTTGGTTACTAATTTTTTACTTCAGTTCAAGACTTACAATCCGGAATTCACGCAGATTGAGATCTGGTTCAGATGCATCTTTCTGCTCTTTACTTTTATTGTTATAGTAAGTATTTCGGAACATTTTAAGTTTGTATGATCATTATTGATCAGTATTATTCAAACCATTGTAACATTTTTTAATTTTCAGTGCTGGTATGCCCACACCTTGCGAAAATATCCTATCTATGATTGGTCCATTGAGCAGCGATGGCTGTCGGTTTTGCTGCCCCTACTTCTGCTTTATGATAGTGAGTCCAATCCTAAACCGAGATAATATTCTTAGAGTGTACAAGAAACTCCTATTCACAGATCCATTCTTCCCGATGATATTCCTCATGAACTCCTGGATGCCGGGAATGCTAGACGCCATTCTCCAGGCCACTTTCCTTTGTGCACTGCTCATGTTCTGGCTGTGTATTTACCATGGGCTAAGACAAAATGAGCGCAGCTTCGTCCGCTTCTACCTGGTCAAGGTAATCGTCGTTTTGCCTATCTGGCTTTGTGCCATTGTCCTTGCCACCTGGGAGAAGTGCAACGAGCTGAGGGACCCCACATACAGTCACTTTGTGGACACGAAAAACTACAATGTGGGTACCAAACTGTGAGAGCTATTACAATTTTTGTAACCAAATCCAATTTCAGGGCTTCAAGATGTTCTTCTATATTGCCTGCTGCATGTATGTGCTTTATTTGGTGTTACTGCTGTTGCGAGCATATACCGAACTTAGGTCGATGCCCTATTTTGGTAAGATATGAACCTATATTACGGGCAACATAAAACCCTTAACGATCCCCTCCGCAGATATGCGCTTGAAGTTTCTCACGCTGCTCATGCTGTTCGTCCTTTCCATTTCGATCACGGTGACCACCTGTCGCTTTGGCTTTGGAATCCTGGAGGACAACTTTGTGGCCTCATTAAACACCACCTATCGCAGCTCGGCGCAGTTCATGTGTTTCTACGGGCTGCTTAACTTTTACCTGTACACCATGGCGTATGTGTATTCGCCGGATGGACGCTTTGCCCAAGCGGAACTGGCCGTTACGAAGGATAATCCAGCCATTTCCATGATCGACGATTCCGACGAGGACGTCGTCTACGGCTCCGATGAGGAATCGCGTCGCCCTCTCACCGCTGTGGGCGGCGGAGCTGGAAAGAATGACTACGACAGCGATTGATCGGACGTCTGGATTCCAAAATGTTCCAAAGCGCAAGCGAGGGTTATAGTGCTAAATAAGTGTACAAAATATTCTCTAACATAATGCATAAATTAAACGAATTTCCGGAATTAATCCTTGATGTTTGAGTATTTGAAACTATTTTAGAAATATAGAGTTCTTTATCTTTAGAGGTTGCTTTTATCGTTATTTTACTAGATTGTTTATTAGATAATTAACACATTTCGCCAGATGATTTCAATTCAAAAGCATAGCAAAAACCCTCTAGATGGCCTCGTTGACGCCCAATTTCGTTTTGGTGAGAAGGCCGCCGTCACCCATTTCCGCATTGTATCCAGGACGATACTTCATGCCGGGAGCCTGTAGGCAAAAAGCAAAATAAGCGTGAAGCGAATCGAACAGGAAGAAGGGATTAGCTCCACTTACATTGAACCAGACATCGCGCCAGGCTTTGCTGTCATCGGCGCTGCGCAGCAGCTCGGGAACGTCGAAGCGCGGCACATTGAAGTAGTTCATCAGATCGGGCTTCTCGTTGCAGTATTTGATGCGGGCCTCGCACCACTCGGTCTCCAGCGGGAAGCGCCAGTCTATCATCTTCTTGTTATGCGGGTCCGCCTCGTACTGGTCGAAGTCGATGCGCTCGATGTCCTCGACCACAACCTCGGTCTCACCACCGGCAGTCCAGTCGTAGATGAGCAGCTCGGCGTGGGTGGAGATGTCCTTGAGGAACTGTTGCTTGTACAACTGCTCCACATCGCTCAAGTAAGCGTTGCTGAACACCTTCGATTGCACCTCGTAGTCCACGTTGCGGGCCTGGATCTGCTTCTTCACGGCCTCAACTGGCAGGTCCAAGTAAATTACCAAATGCGGCTTCAGCAGCTCACCGATGGTGTTCTGGCGCAGATCGTTATAGACGGAACGGGCGCCGCGAGACAGATATCCCTGACGGAACATGGCCTCCATGAAAACGAAGTCCGAGTAGGGACTGCGCTCGAGGACAACTCCCTGACCTGTGCTCAAGATGTGCTGCAGGGCATCGATGTACTGCGAGTAGCGCAGCATGTACATGCGGATCTGGAACTGAGCGGCCAAGTCGTGGCTAGGATCCATGCAGAAGTTGCACACATCGTAGCTGCGGCAACTGGGAGGCAGCTCGGGATCTAACTTGCGCATGTCATAGCCGTAGCTATTGATGTAGATCAGATCCAGATTCACGGCAGGATAGTACTGCATATCCAACTCCTCGGCCAGCTCCTTGGCGAACTTAGTCTTGCCGGCTGCGATGGGTCCCTCAACGCAGATCACTTTGGAGTTCTCGTCGAAACGCTTGGAAGTCTTGTCGAAAAATGAGTTGAACACGGTATACTTCTTCGTCTTGTACGGGTAGGGGGCTTCCTTGGGCACCCGGGGGCCACCTCGCATGGTCTTGCCGGAGATGCTGCATCGCTGCTGGAAAGCGGCGGGCAGGGCGTTCGTCTGCGCCTGGAGAAGAGTGGGCGCTTGTGTGGCGCGGCTGACAAGCCGCACCAGGCCAACGCGGAACACGGCAGTCATTCTGGGAAGAGAAACAAGAATCTCTATAAATATTAGATTACCGTGGTCAATCCATAATAATAACAAATAGATTTGGCCCTCTCGCAGTTGGTTACATCACAGGAGCTACGCAGGTTGTGCAGTATATTTTGGATTTAAAGTGATGAAGTAGGTTTTGGAAATTTTCTGCTGACCGGCAAACGTGCGATTTTTGCTTTACCAATGACAAAATTGTAAATGTTCGATCGGGAGGTAATAAACTCACTTTTTAAGCTACAAATCGGGAAGTCTACCCAAAAACAATGTTGGCCTCTGTGGTCGGTGTTGGAAAACGCCTCGAGCTGGGTTGTCAAAGGGTTTTGGAAATACTCAAACGGCCTATATAAAAATAAAAAATGATTGACAATGTTTTCCATTCCTTTGCAAACCCATCAAACATTTTACGCTTAAATTTGTTTTTCCATTTTTTTTTTTAAATTTCAAACTTGACAACAACTCGACAACACTCATTATCTGAGTTCCCAGGTAATCCTTACCTTTTTAACTCAATGTTAAAAAATGCTTTTCGTTTATTCTAAGCTAGCAATAACACTTTTAACTGCTGCCGCCGTGAGATTTTAATTTGTTGTAAACTTTTCCATATTTACACTTTGGCAAAACATATGGTACACTTTTCAGAGATCTGGCAACCCTCACCACATTTTTGTGCATTTGGGCTCCAAGGTTCTAACGATGAACTAAACTAACGAAAATATCAATCAAAATTTAAAGCAACTGGCTCCAGAAACAGATACACAAGCACCAGGACTTGTGAACAAGCTGATCAGGTAAGCACTTGCGATGGAACCGTGTATTTAGACGGTATTCATCCCCTTGGAGTTACGCAACTGAGAACTAATAGGATTTTCCTCGTGACACAGATTTTGTTATTGAGCTATCCCGCAGCCAAAATGGGCAATACAGCGATCACCCGAGTGCAAATGGAGGCCACCAAGAGTGTGCCGGTGGACCATGCCAAATACATGAGCGGGGCAGCCGGTTCTCCACCGCCAGAATGTCCAATGCACCAGAAACACGGAGATGCGAAGTCCGCATCTGCCGTCCCACCACACCCCAAGATGCAGGCGGCATCCGAGTGTCCAGTGCAACACGACAACAGCGACGTAAATCCGCTGAACATGATGCCACCGGCCAACCAACAGCCGGCAGCGGACCAGCCCTTCCCACTGCCCACAGACCGCCAGACCTCGACCATTCCCAAGGTCACCGAGGATGGCAGCGTCCAGTTCTGGCAGTACCCCAGCCAACAAATGTTCTGGAACGCCATGCTGCGCAAGGGATGGCGCTGGAAGACCGAGGACGTTTCGCAAAAGGACATGGGCGACATTATACGCATCCACAACGCCAACAACGAACAGGCCTGGCAGGAGGTGCTCAAGTGGGAGGCGCTGCACGCCAAGGAGTGCGGTAATCCGCGCCTCAAGAGCTTCGGCGGCAAAGCCAAGGACTTTAGTCCGCGCGCTCGTTTCCGCAGCTGGCTTGGGTGAGTGGTTCGTGCTTGTTTTTTCAAGAATCTGATGAAATATTCTATCTTCGACGTTCTTTTGACCATTTAAACTTGTTTTCAGTTACGAGCTACCCTTTGATAGGCACGACTGGATCGTCGATCGTTGCGGCAAGGATGTGCGCTATGTGATTGACTATTACGACGGTGGTTTAGTTGACAAGGACTACCGCTTCGCTCTGCTGGACGTTCGTCCTGCCATGGACTCGGTGGACAATGTTTGGGACCGGATGCGAGTGGCCTACATGCGCTGGAAATACGAGTTATCCGAGAAATTTGGCAGTCGCGACGAAGGCAAAGTGACTGCCGGTAGCGACTAAGTGGAACACTTCAATATATGATTGGTATATCTGTACAAAATCGGCTTAAGTTATCGAATGCGACTGGAGTTGTAGTTGAATGCGTTCAATACGTTGCAGAGGGAGTCACGAAAACGGCTCTGTCCTTAAATACACTTTTAATTCTGACTTCTGAACACCAACACGAAAAAGTGGTTTCTATTCAACAGTTATGGAGTATGAAAAACCATTTAAGGAATATATGTTAAACATGTTTAATTAGTAGGTAACGGATAATAACTCCTGTTGGCGCCTTTGGGTTAATCAACTGTCAGTGTTGAAAAACGCGATTGTTACTTTTAGGTTTTGTTGCTGGCCCATTACGTGAGAATCGTGTTTTGGCCGCTGGAGAGTTAATTGGATAGCACCGATCGCTCCGATCCACTTGAATCAGTCATAAATGTTAGCTGCCAGAATGAGGTTCGTTCAATACCTGCGTAAGGGTGATTTGGCCAAGCGCCTGGGTCTGTTGTCCGAGGATCAAAAATCCCTTGTGGAATTCGCCGGTTTGGAGGGAGTGCCCAGTGATCTGAAGACCCTAATTGCCCAGAACCCCAATTTGGAGGAGCTGGCAAAGAAGGCTGAAAAGCAACCGAAAGTCGAGTTGAACGATGACGTCACATTGCTGCCACCTCTAACTGATCCCGGCAAGATCATTTGCATTGGTATGTGAGTTGTGTGGACATTGACCTTCAAAATGATTTTTTTTTTATTACCCTCCTTGTAGGTTTGAATTATCAAGACCACTGCGATGAGCAGAACAAACCGGCTCCCAAGGAACCCATGTTCTTCAGCAAGTTCAACAATGCCCTGGTGGGTCCCCAAGATAATGTCATCGCCCACTCTGCAAGCGACGTATGTAGAATATGAGATAACATGAGATAGCCTTGTCGAGATTACCCATCAAAAACTTTCCGCAGAAAATCGATTGGGAAGTGGAACTTGTTTGTGTCATTGGCAAGGTCGCCCGCCAGGTGCCCAAATCCCAGGCAATGGACTATGTCTTTGGGTACACGGTGGCCCAGGATATTTCTGCCCGCGACTGGCAGAAGGAACGCAATGGAGGTCAGTTCCTTATCGGAAAGTCAATGGACACTTTCCTCCCACTGGGACCGGCTGTGGTGCACAAGAGCCTGGTGCCGGATGTCTACAACTTGAATCTGAAGACCTGGATCAACGGCGTGGAGAAACAGAACGGCAATACCGGCAACCTTATTTTCAAGATCGATGATGTGATCAACCGGCTGTCGCAGACCATCACCCTGTTGCCGGGCGACATCATTGTCACCGGCACGCCCAAAGGCGTGGGTATGCACCGTAATCCTCCAGAGTTCCTTAAGCCCGGAGATGTCATCCAGACAGAGATTGTGGGACTGGGAAAGCTGACCAACAAAGTTGTGGCTCCCTAGACCCGTCTGTTCTTGTTATGTGTTGTACGTTTGTATAGTTATTTGTTGTATATGAAACAATGCATTTAATCAAAGAGATACGAGTTTTAATGGTACTTGGATATGGGCGTTAATGTCTGTTGCAAGCCAAATATTCAGAAACCATCCCTACAATTTTGTAAGCGTTCAATTATTATTATTTAATTAACAAAGATTAGACTTTAAAAGTCTTAGACTGTGTGGCATAGTATTCGTTGCGGCTGTGATACGGCTTATAGGGATCGTTGATATAGTGCTTTGGCCGGCGCCAGAAGCTGGTGACCATCTTGTCCAGCAACCAGCTCTGCGTTGCATTGGTGAAGACGTGCTGCTTGAGTCGGCGACGCAGGGCTCCTGATTTCTTAAAGAGCTTCTTCTGACGACCAGAATGCGTGCGTATCCAGGCGCCCCAATCCAAACGCTTAAATCGCTTTAGTACTGCTTTGACGGTCTTCCGTTTTCCTTTGATCAGCGAGAACTTGGTCACGGTGCGCGTGTTTGCTGGAGATCCTGTGACTGACAAACCACCGGGCAGTTGTAGGAACTGAACAGGAGCAGAGGACAAAAGCGAAGGAGCAGGCAGAAGGCTGGGGCGGGTTAAAGTCATCAAATTGGCACGTTGTGTCTGATGCACCAAAGGAATCACTGATGGCGCAGCCGGCGACTGGCGGCAAACGCTGCGCAGCGCTGTAAATTACAAAAAGTTTGAAAAGCCCCAACTTTTTATGAGGCAACAGACGTTCACTTACCGCTTGTCACAAAAGATCTTAGCATTTCACAGACTTTCAAAGCAAAAACTCAAAATAAAACTTATTTCTATACAAAATCGTAATTGCTCTTCTTCTTAACAAATCGCGTAACAGTCAGCTGTCCGCCATTCACACAAAGAAAGGCGAATTGTTGTGCACATGGTTTTTGATTAACAATTTTTTATATCGCCTAAAAAAATAATGACTATTATAATAAACATTTTCTGTATATTATCTTGTTTATGCCCACGGTTCTTCTAATGACTGTGTAAACATTTTCTGTATATTATCTTGTTTATGCCCACGGTTCTTCTAATGACTGTGTAAAAACCATTTTCCATTTATCATCTTGTTTACTATTTATTTTATTTTGATATTTGAAAGTTTTATTATCAAAAATTTAATCTAGTATTCGCTATAAAACATTTATATACATATTTTATTCTATTTTGATTAATGTTTTCAAATTTTGAATATTGTTATAAATATTGCGACGAATCAAAAATTCGTCACGCAACATTTCTAAATCAAATGTTTTCAGACTGACCTATCGCATAAAAGCGTATATGTTGCCAACACTTTTGCCGTCAAAAAATAATCCAAAATTGTATGATTAAATTTCAGTACATCCACCGAAGGACCAAGCAAAGCGAAAAGGACGAGCAGGACACTGTGCACTGGATACGTTTTCGTGTGAGTGTGTGGGATGGAAGAGGAAGCAGCAGCACTGGCCAGCCATTCACCCACCAGCGCTGACGCAGTCGAGCCAGCTTCGAACGAATTGGGCAAAATTTAATTCACGCCGCCGGGACCTGAAAAATTCACGGGAGCCGAAGGAGGAGCAGCAGGATCAGAGCAAATCAACACCATGTATCGGCTAGCGGTGCGAGATCAGTGCAAGTGCGCCCTGCAGGTTTGTTTTCCTGGGTTGAATTATTGGCGAGCTGTTTGATAACGTGAAAATCGATCGTCACGTTGCCCCAACACCCCCGCGCACCCACAAACAAGCGGTTGGCGAAAATACAACAAGAGGCGCTGGTTATGTCATCTCCAAAGCCCAGGAATCGGGTGTAAAGCTCAAAAATTTTAGTTGTCCAGGAACGCGGGGGTGTCGGCGGGTTATCCAAATCCTATTAATAGTTGCTCTCATAATTTTCCTTTGATTTCTACAGCGTACGCTGCAACAGACGACCACAAACAGCAGACAGTTCGGCGGAAATGGGAACCGGGAGCAGGGAAGGCGGCAGCAGGGACATCAAGGATACCAGGGTCTGCCGCCGCCACCGCATATGCGCGAAGCTGGCTTCGGCAAAGTGGTCCTCTTCGTCTCCCCGTTGGCAGCCGTCGGCGGAGTCATCACCTACGCCAAGTAAACAATGATCCAGAATTGTTATCATTCCGCATTCTGTAATTCTCTAATTTCCCTGCAGGTACGACGACGACTTCCGCAAACTGGTGGAAAAGAATGTGCCCGGCGCCGGCTCCGTCATCAAAGTGGCGCTGCAGGAGGAGCCGCCATTCAAGGGCATCACCAAGAACGTCAACGACCAGATCGATAAGGTGAAGTCTGGCTTTGAGACGGTAACCACCACCGTGGACTCGGTTACCTCTAAAGTAACAGGATTATTTGGCGGCGGCAGCGGCGATGACAAGGCCAAGAAGTCCAAAGTGGAGCCGGTAAAGGCCACCCCTGCGGAAGAAAAGAAACCCAAGAAATCCACCGAAGCCAGTAAAACGGAAACAAAGCCAGTAGCGAACACCGCGAAGCCAGTTGTAGCGCCTACTCCCGTTGCTAAGCCCAAAGAGGACCCGCTGCCCCGCGAGGTCGTCGAGCTGGAGAAAGCCATCGAGTTGGCCGCCCAGTTGGCCGTCAAGGAGTACAACAAGGCCATCAACGTGTTGAAGGGGTAAGTGAATAAAAAAACAAATTTTAAACAATCTTGCTTTCAATATTCTTGGCAAAAACATTTTTGTATTTAAAGACAGTTTCGTCATACATTGCAAATGGTTAATACATGTATGTTAATTATAGAACAAACATGTCATCTTTAGGGCTATTTTCAAATATTCATTTATGTTGTGCATTTCTTTTAAGCTTCAACGATGATGTGCGTAAGGTGGTGGACAAGGCGGTGGAGAACGGAGAGAACTCTCTTTGGACCACACTGAAGAACCGTGCAAGTGCCCGGGACTCGGCGGTAGCCACAGCGGAGCACGCTGCGCGCGAAGCCCAGGAGAAGATTAGTAAGAACAGCAACTCTTGAGTATGTTTTTATCAGAGCTTACTTTCATAATATATTTCAGTTGCCTGCGAGATCGCCTTGAGTGCTGCGGCGACTGCACAAAACGCGAAGTCAGTGGAGGCGGTGCGCGACAAGATCAAGAAGTTGGTGGACCACATAAGCAACGTCAAGGACGAGCTCTACCGACACAAGGACACTGCCAGCGTGTCGGACAAGTACTGGCGCAATGTAGAGAAGGCGCGTAACTACTTCATCGACGAGATCGAGTCTATTTTCCCCGGCCTCAGCCTGGCGGATAAGAACCTCAATCTGTCGAAGGAGGACCTCGACCTGTTCATCTTGCACGCCTACACCCACGTTCTGGCGTACCAGAAGGAGCTGCAGCGCCTGCAAACCGACGGTGAACTGCGCCTGAAGCGAGCTATTGACTCGGTTCGCGGGGACCAGGATTCGGAGGCTCTGCGCGCTCAGCTGGAATACCATTTGGAGGCTGAAAGGCGTAAGCTGGCCGTGGAGAACCAGAAGAAGATCTTCAACATTCACGCCGAGTCCGACAAGCAGTTGCGCTTACAGCTCAAAAAGCAGGCGGAGGCCCACGCCGATCACATCAAGGACATCGTGGCCCAGCGGGAGACCGATCTCACGCGCAGCTTTAGGCGCGAGTTGGAGGACAAGCTGGCCACCGAGAAGGCAAACTATAAGCTGCAGTTAGCCACCATGCTGGGCAAGCTCCGCGGCATGGACGCGGCTCTAGCTGGTGAGTATATATTTCCTACATTACTTTTTAAGCTTAAGTAGTGTAGCACGGCTAGAAATATAATCTTTTTATACATCTCTAAAACATGCTGCTACTTTAGAGATTGAGGATGAGTTTCAAGGTACTTTCATCAAGTCATAAGTAAATTCATTTAGTTCTTTTTAGAAATAGTCGATCGAGTATAAAAGAATAGTTGCATTTAGAATTGTTCTCCCAACACTAATTGGTTATATTTTTGTAGAGCGTGCGGATGCAGAGCGTACTGCCAATCAGGCGCAGGCCTTGTGGGCCGCCTGCCAAGCTCTGTGGGCCTCCGTGCGCACTGCCACTCCTGGCGTGCACTACAAGGAGAAGCTGCGTCCACTGAAGAACGAGATTAATGCCATTGCCAAGGTGGCCAGTAAGTAGAAATAGGTTTTTAGGAAAAATCAAAATCAATGCCAATATCATTATCCTAACAGAGGGCGACGATCTGGTGGCAGCTGTGCTGGAAAGCGTGCCTCGAGAGGCTCAGGAGCGCGGTGTCTATCCCGAGGATGCGCTGCGCGAGCGATTCCTGAATGTGGAGCGCGTGGCGCGACGACTGGCTTTGGTGCCAGAGGATGGAGCCAGTCTGCCCATCTATTTCCTGTCCTATCTGCAGTCGCTGTTCATCCTGCGACCCGATAATCCCATTTCAAAGGACGAACTCGACAACAAACCCTTCGACTATAGCAAACTGGACACCTACGATATCCTAAACAGGGCCAGGTAAGAAAGTTTAAAATGTGTAGAAACCGAAAATATGAATTGTTGCCTTCTTTCAGATACCATGTGGATCGCAGCGACTTCCTGCAGGCGCTAAGGTACATGAACCTGCTCCAGGGTGCATCCCGCCAAATTGCCGGCGAGTGGATCAAGGAGGCCCGCCTCATGCTGGAGACGCAGCAGGCGGCCAACACCCTGATGGCCCATGCAGCTGCCAGCGGCCTGTTGTATTTGTAGACTACGTCCCACATTTCCTTCCTCCACAAATACAAAGAAGCACTTATTATTTGTCATTACTCCAAGAGAAGACGGAACGAAAGCCACTAAGCGCAATAGATAAACCGCAATATGTAATTTGTCCAATGAGAGATCACAGTTTAAAAAATACTTATATATATTTGTAAAATTTTGTTTAGCTTCAATTATACAAATTATATATAGATGAACGTCATTATTATATTCAAACAAATTATGTTTTGGGGACATCGTTAAGATGAATTAAATTCCCCGTTTATTGTACCATTATTCGAAAACTATGAAGCAATACTAGTGGCTGGATATTCTGAAATTGGCAATCTTTTTTAGTTTTCCTGGAGAGCATTGTGATTAGTAAAGGCAAAAATACAAACATAATTGTTTTATTTATCGAAAGAAAAATCTAAATAAAATCATACGAAAACAAAAATTTTTAACGAGTTTTATAAATAAAATTCCAAATATAATATTACAAAATTCGAAAGGTGTATTTCCACAATACAATTTTTGAACATAGCAACCAATGTTAAGCACTTTTTATAATGTCTTTTTCACAGATTTCGTTTTCCCAATAACGATATATTTCGTAATAAAGTTTTGCCCGCCAAAATTCTGATAATCGGACGTTATCCAACACAGGTCGCTGCCGTTTCGTGGGAGGCTATTGCCAGCCCTGGTAGCCCTGAGGAATCAGCTGGTTTGCGTGGTCGATTTGGTCCTATTGAAATTTTCGGTTTTGGCACCGGAGCAAAAATCACATCGCAATCAAATTTCCCGTGCCCACAGGATTTACGTTTGGTTTTTGGGTAACAGCCGGAACATCTAGCAAACCGATCAGCAAAATGTCGATGCTGGCAAGAACCGTTGGTCGCACCTTCATGCAGGTAAATGCTTCTCGAGTCCGGAGGCTCTTACATAAACACTTGCCCGCGACGCGCTGTGCGAATTATTCTGCACTGGGCCCCAGTTCTTTTTTCTTTTTTGAGGTTATAATCCTAGCAAGCCCAGTAAGTAATTCCATCTAAATTCTATATTTTTAGGCTGCGGCAGCACGTAGTCTGCACACCACGTCGTCTGTTCGCGCTCCGGTGAGTAAAATGTGGCATTGTGGAGGAACCAAAAGGTAATCAAAATCTTATTCGCATTGCAGGATAGCTACGGAGCCAACAGGACCACCTGCACACTGGTGCCCGGCGACGGTGTGGGTCCTGAGCTGGTCTACTCCCTACAGGAAGTCTTTAAGGTAGCTATTCCTCAAAATCACTTATTGGCGCATAAGAGGACTAGAGCCTTGATAGATTTGTTAATTACTTGAAAAGTTTGTTATTAATTACACGTGGCAATTACAAGACTAGAAAGTTAAAAAATAGTTAAGATCTTCAGACATCCATTATTCAAATGGCAGAATCAATTTTGATAACATTTTAATTTTCCCGGTCACGAGTAATTTTATAACAAAAATCAGAACGCCTCAACTTATCTACACCGTAAAGATATGCAGTAAGTGGCTACTTAAAAACGTTGAATATCTGCAAGGAAATTCCATATAAATTATTTTGATTTAAGATTTTATCATCTGTAACAAGTAATTTTTAAAACAAATTTGAAATCAAAATTGATGTTTTTGTTATACAAAATCGGTCAACATAAATTGGCGCCTAAGTAAATATGATATTAATCTTATCTTGTCTTTTAGGCAGCCAGTGTTCCCGTGGACTTCGAGTGCTACTTCCTATCCGAAATCAACCCTGTGCTAAGTGCCAAACTGGAGGATGTGGTGGCCTCCATTCAGAAGAACAAAGTGTGCATAAAGGTAAGTTTGTCTTACAACAAGCAGTCTGGCAAATGTTAACAGATCTCCTCTAGGGTGTTTTGGCCACACCCGACTACAGCAATGTGGGTGATCTGCAGACCCTCAACATGAAGCTCCGCAACGACTTGGACCTGTACGCCAACGTGGTGCATGTCCGGAGTTTGCCCGGCGTGAAGACCCGCCACACCAACATTGATACTGTCATCATCCGTGAGCAGACCGAGGGCGAGTACTCGGCTCTGGAGCACGAGTCGGTGCCCGGAATTGTGGAGTGTCTGAAGATTATCACCGCCAAGAAGTCCATGCGCATCGCCAAGTTTGCCTTCGACTACGCCACGAAGAACCAGCGCAAGAAGGTCACCGCCGTGCACAAGGCCAACATCATGAAGCTGGGCGACGGCCTCTTCCTCCGCTCCTGCGAGGAGGTCTCCCGGCTCTATCCGCGCATCCAGTTCGAGAAGATGATCGTGGACAACACGACCATGCAGATGGTCTCCAACCCCAACCAGTTCGACGTGATGGTCACGCCCAATCTCTACGGCGCTATCGTCGACAATCTGGCCAGTGGTCTTGTGGGCGGCGCTGGTGTCGTCGCCGGTGCCTCCTACTCCTCGGAGGCCGTGGTCTTTGAGCCGGTAAGAAAATATTTCGGGGCAGCCCGGGGAACTGGTAGCTTAATCGCCAGCCTAATCTGCTATAAACACTGATTTACGGGACCCTCGACTGAAGTTTCCCCTCTTCGCACGCTTATCTCTAATTCCGATTCCTGATTGCAGGGTGCACGTCACACATTCGCCGAGGCTGTGGGTAAGAACGTGGCCAACCCAACTGCTATGCTGCTTTGCGGCGTAAAGCTGCTGCGCCACATCAACCTGCCTACCTACGGCGAGATCATTCAGAACGCCATCAACAAGGTGTTGAATGATGGCAAGGTGCGCACCAAGGATCTGGGAGGACAATCGACCACGCAGGACTTCACCCGGGCCATTATCCTGAACATGTCCTAGATGGGCACCATTGTCATCGCCGGCGCGATCAGCAAGTTTTCTCTATTATGGGCAATGCCGTTGGCGCTTATTAAATCGACACTAGACAGTTTCTGTTGTTGCCACAGCTAAATTTGAATTGTTTAAAAAACTCCCTTAAAAGTTATTAGTTTCTCTTTACGTCCAATTTTTATTTATCCCGATGTCTTTAGTGCATTCATTTGAGTATTATTTCCGGCGAATATTTAAGTTTAGTCCAATTGAAACGCCCCAAGACCCGCCCCGAATCCAAAAACCCGCGAATTCTTTAATTTTACCAATTGGCAGTAACACATTGATCCTTGATTATGTTGTAATTATTTACGTATTATTTTTCCTCTTTATTGATTTTGCAAAGATCCGATCTTGCGGCCGATTTATTCTTTATGTTTACCTTGTTGAAAAGCAAAACAAAAAAAAACCGAAAACAAATGATATTGCTAAACCAATTAAACTGATAGCGGACGGCTTTTGAGTGGACCCACTCCACTGGAGCTGTGAGAATGATAACAATAAACTCAAATCTAAATTAATTATTATTTAAAAGCCATTGTCAGTTTGAGCTGTCTAAATTTTAAGTAATAAATAAAAAAGATAAAACCTGAAATACTTTGAGAAACATTTTTGTCTCTGGAAGCTGCCAACAAAATCATTCACAAGCTCACATTTCTAAGAAAACCGAAAACAAATTTAATGGAAAACTTGATACCAAACATAGCCAAAATGCAAATATCAGAACACCAAATGTGATGGCACAGATTTTGGACAGGCTCCGGCCTCGTCCGGATGGACCTATCCGCCCTTGGGCTTGGCCAACTCGATGAGGCGTGGCGAGGCCTTGGCCTTGAGGGCCGCCGGCGAAATCGCGAAAGGATTCTCCCGGATGTGCGTATTCTCGAACTCCTTCGGCTCCGCCAGCTCCTTGATGCGAGTGCTCGCTTTGTACTTGAGCGCATTGGGAGCGATCCCGAATGGATTCTCCTTGACGTCCGCCAGTCCCTGGTTGGCATCGCGAGACGTGAGCGGCTCGGACATCTCCTTGATGCGGGCGCTCGCTAGGGAAGCAGTAAAAGTCGGTAAACATATCTATTTATGGAATTTCAGATATGCAGATACTCACGCTTGTAACGAAGGGCATTCGGCGAAACCTTCTCGGGATTCTCGTTGATGTGCACATTGTCCCGCGTAACGGGCTGTGATATATCCTTGAGCCGCTTGGACGCTTTGTAGTCCTTCATTTGTTGTGTCAGCTCCCACTTGGGCTTGAGCTCCTCCAAAAAGGCCTTTGGACTCGCCAACTTTTGGAGGCGTGCTTGGTCGATCTCCCCAGCCGCTCGCGACTATATGGTAACAAATTTTGCTCATTAATATCTAATATTATTATTGAAAGGCCAAATTCAAAGCTCTTTAATTTTAGGTAAGTTAACTACTATTTAACTCACCGGTTTTGGAGGTTTAGGCGCTTTCTTCGGTTTCGCCAGATTCTCAATGTATTTTTCATGCTTAGCCAACTGCTTCTCCGTCTTCTTCTTCTTTTTCTTTCTGAATAATCGATACGATGAATTTTATAATATATTATAGGGATAGATAGTGGATAAACTTACGGTTTACGCAAAGGCTGGATATTCGCTAGGCGACTGTAGAGAGACAAGTAGCTGTAGCGGAGCCACCTGTTCAGGATGGACTCGCCGATCTTGTCACCGGTATTGATGGCCGTCCTCCGCCGTTGGAGCAGTCGGCGAACCGTGGGCAGGGCCAACTGTTCGGTGCGCGTGTAGCTTTGGGCATCGCAGGGGCGAACCATCTCGATGCATTTGCGAAACGGGCAGGCGCACTTGGGCACGAAGCGGCAGTAGCGGCGGTTGGGAACCGCCATCTCCATCAGGCGTCTGCGTTTCACAAACATTCGATCATGGCGCCTGTACAATTTGTTCAGGTCCTTGCCAATATCCCGCACAAAACACTCGGCATCGTAGGGAATTGGATCCCGGATGGGACAGCAATCCGGACGAACACTGTCCTTTAACTGCAAACATGTTGTGACCTCTGGGCTGAGGTCGCACTTCAATCTTTGGATGGTCATTCTAGAGGTTTCCGAATTTTGGAATTGTCTGCACAACCAATTTAATTCTTCTATTATTTTTTTTACGTTTTTTTTTTAGTAAAACATTGACGATTATCTGAACAATCCGAACCTAAACTTCATGTGGAGAATTTTTTAAACTGAAGTTTTTTTTTTCATTTGACAACAAATGGAAATTGCTTCGGGATAGAAAATGCATGGATAAATAATTTTCAATAACTATACTTACCCCTCGAGGGATCTACCCTCGTTTGGCTGATTTTAAAGCAAACAACTATTTATTCTTTTATTAATGTTTTATTGACAGTATTCATAAAAATACTGAGAGTATGCTCCAAGTTCACATCATTACAAGTTAATAGTTTTGTTTGGGGTTTGTATTTCCTCTGTCTCTCCTGCAAGTTGTTCATTTCTTTAGTTTGGTTTCTGCCAGTTATTGTATACCTGCTATTTTTGTTCATTCTGTTCACATATACACAAATCTTATCTTTTCCTTAAGCAATTTTTGCCTGTATCCTTGTCGTCCTCAACTGGTCTCTTTTTATGCTTTTTTACAATGTTTTTGCCATACATTTGAGTTGGTTCGAAAATTTTCAACTTTTTTTACGACTTTTTTATTGCAATTCAATTGGAATTCAGCACTTGTTTTTGTTGTTCTTGTCATTGGCTTTTAAATTTAGGTTTAGACTTCTTTTTGTTTACGAACAAAATAACTTGAAAACGAAAGTGGTAAGCATAATGTTAATAATATTTGTTATACACTCACATCGAACTTATGCATTACACTCATACGTACACAAATATGTACTATAAATTTGAATTTAGCATTTACTAGGTCATTTTTTTTGTTGACAAAAATTTTGCTAATTTGAATTTACCTTATTTTGGTTGTTTTTCATTTAATATTCGATTTGTAGAGAATCCCACTTGGAATTCGCGTGTGTATCGATTTCAATATTTACAAAAAAATCCACGCCAAAGCGAAATAATAATTAGATCTATGTAAATTAGGGGGTATCTTTCGTTATCTTTTTGTTTGCCATCCAAATATGTATGTTTTTACACTTAATGCATTTTTAGTTTAAATTTTCCTCGCATATCGTATACAGTTTTGTCTTAGAAATACAACTTTAATCAGAATTTATCGAAAGTTTTTTTTGCCTGAAGTATTTTCTGCGTTTAGATATTTTTGTCCCTTTAGATTTATTTTTGACACGCTAAATATATATAATATATGTATACAGATTACCAAAAGGGTTGCTCCTTCTTTTATGTACATACATACGACTTTTTCGGTTTGCATAATTTTGCATAGTTTCACATGTTTTGGAATTTCAATTTGATTTTTCTTGCCTTTAAGATATGCCTCCAAACTTGTTTTAGACTTAGTTTTCTTGACACAATTTTTTGTGTTAATATACCAGTTGCTTTATTATTTTTGTTTAAATCATTTCTCCTTTAGTTGGTCCCTGAAGCTGTGTTGAGTTTAGATATACCATTCCTTTGGCTCGTCTGAAATAGTTTCTGCCTGTATTGATTTTGGTTCGGAATATTCCAAAAGTGTTTCGTGGGTTGGAGCCAAAACAATTCTCGAAAGTGGTGAGAGTCAACTGAAGAACTAAACTAAAAACGAAACTCAATTAACAGAAATAAAAGATTCAATTGCCTTTTGTTGTTGTTGTTGTTGGTATTTGCATCTGTTGAGTGCCAATTGTTGCTCATCTCTTGCATGTGAAAATGGAGCAAATATTGGCCATGTTAGAAGAGTTTTCGGTTCCTATCACGGCCAATATTTACTTTGGGCTATTGTTTAGTTTATTTGTAATTCTGTCATCTGTCAATTATAACTATTGCATATAATGGTATTAAGTATCTTGTTGCAATTGTTAGACTGTGCTTAATTTAATATTCATATTTTTCTTATCTCTGCAATGTGTGAACGGAAAGCCTCCTGTGGTGATAATAAATGAAAACGAAAACAAATGGTTTAACTAAAATATTTTTCATTTTATTAATAAACGTTTAATTCGTAAATATATTGTATATATCGGGTTTTTTTGCGTTTAAAACATAATAAGTAAATAATAAAGATAACGAAAATTATAAACTTAGACTTAATTATGTGTGTCTGTGTAATATAATAACAATTATGCACGCCTTACTAAACAGAATTTTCGCCGTTGCTTTTGTAAATATTAATTTTAGGTTTACAATATATTTATTACAATTACTTTTGTATAAATCAAATTAAGCAAAATTTCATTGTGTTTATAAATTACTTATAAAATTAAACATATTTCTTTTGGATTTATTTTCAACGCAGAACATAATAAATTTCACATTTTTGCTGCAGTGTTAAGTTTTTCTTCACTTTCTGTTTCATTTTAAAAATCTCTCTTTGCGTCTTAGCTTTAATGCTAAATACACTTTGATGTACTTATGGGCTATTGCTAATAATAATGCGAATTCTTTTTTTTTTTTTGCTTATTGGCTTTTGTTTTCCACTAAAAAAAAAAATTGTTAATTTGTTTTTAATTTTGCAGTAATTATGTAAATGCAAAATAAATTGCTTTTCTGCTCTATTTTCTGTAGTGTAGTTTACCAAAATTCTAATTTTATGAATTGTACTTACATCAGTTTGTTTGTTTGTTGTAAAAATAATGAAAAATATTCTCAAAACTTTTGCCTGGCTAAGATTTAAGTTTTCTGTGGTTGTTTCTCGCTTTTTTTGCCAATTGCTTATACCTATTGAAGTTGGTTGTTTTACGGATTGATTGATTAATTATGAATATTATTTTTCTAGGGCTATTGTTGTTGTAACTGTAACTGTGTGGATTTGTTGTTTGGTGTGTAAAAGTTAATAATTGAAATAAAAATTGGTTTTGTTTTTTAATTCATTATGTCTGTTTCTATATTATTGATATAAAGGTTTTGCCATTGAAGTTCGATTTGGTGCTACTTCTTTTTTCTGTTTTTCGCGTTTTTCGCTTTTCGTTTTCCTATTTCCAGTTCTGAGTTGGTATCTGATTCTATTGCTTGGCTATGATCGATCCTAATTAAGTGGCTATTGTATCGGTTATGTGGCTATGAATACAAATCTGTTTTGAAGAAACGGTTTTGTGTGTGTATCTGTGTTTGGGGTCTTGTTAAAGTTAATTGCTGTGGCTATTTCTATTTACTTGTGGCTATTTAAGTTTGTAGTAAGAGTAGTACTATTGTTTAATAAAATTGTGGTTGCTGCTGTTGTTGTTGTTGTTATTGTTGTTGCTGTTTGTTGGTTGTATTTGTTGATAGAAAAAAGAAAAGTACAATCGACTTTAGGCTGTTGTTGTGGTGTTTTGAATAAGTCTGAGCTTTGGATACATCTACATCCACATTGTATATTATTTAAGTTTGATAGTTAATAGATTTTTATTCGGTATCTATTCAATTTTTGTTTCAATTATTTTCGGGCTATTGTTGGTTGGTTGTTCTCTGTGCTGGGCTATTTTGTGGTTGTTGTCACGGCTGGGCTATTGTTTCTTAGCATTTTTCTTTCGCTGGTTCGCTTGATCTTTGCTGATCTTAAGTTGTTGCGGTCGCTCAAGTTGAACTTAGGAGAAAAGTTTTGAGTTGTTTTTCGGACTGTGATGTCTTGATCTGAACGATGAGAATGTGAAGAATTTCTGGTTTTGGACTGAAGCGTGCGCATAATAATGGAAAACCTAGGCGTAGTCTAACTGCTATTTAAAAGAGTTATGTGCACTTATAATGATTTTTGATTTTCGATCCATACGGTAAACATATGCTTGATTCATCCTTCTTGGCATTGGCAAAGAAAGCTTGTAAATTATATTAATCTTTAATGTTAATATATTTGTTGTTGGTTGCTTGGTTTTGTTTGAAACAATTGCACTATAGTTCAAATGATTTTGCCCATTTAAGAAGTCAATAAAAATAGGGAATAATAATTCTAGTAATAATAAAAAAAGAGGTGAATACCATAAAAATGTTGTCTAATATGTACAAACCATAAATCGAGGCTAACAACGCGCTAAATATTTTTAGTCGGTATAATAATAGAATAATAATTATGGTTACGGCTACATAATATTTGAAAATAGAAGTTGATTGATTTATGTGAAGAAATTTTGATTTGCCTACGGTAAGATCATAATTAATGGTAATAATTGTAATCGTAATCACTTTATGCGCTAAATTAAACACGAAAATAAACTCTAATTATATATATGCACTTATATTCAGCAAATTTTGATTCGCATTGAACAAATTAGATTTTATACACAAATGTGAGCAATTTCATTAAGCACGCTAGAAACTCTCTCTTTTTTACTCGCTCAACCATTTTAAACAATTATGTTATGAATATATCAATTTTTCGATTGTTCTCTCTTCACGTTTTCAAAGTTTTTATACAAGTATTAACTATTATGTTGTAGTAAAACAAAGAATAAGTAATGTATGGGTAATCAATCTTGTTTCTCTCCGAAAAATAAAACACGTACCTGAGCGTTTTCGCCTGCCCACCTTGAATCGAAAACAGGGCGTAACCACGCCCCTCAACCAGGTGAACACGCAAAAATTCTATACAATTCAACATTCTCAAGCTGTTACTCAATTACACTCGATTGGTTTCTTCTGTTTTTGTGTTTAGACCTACCACTAGGTTGACATTTCGACTTTCGACTTGGTTTCTGCAGTTATTATCTTTCGTTATGGTTTTATCGCCGGCCCTCAATCTTGTGTTCAGATTTCGGTTTATCCATATCCATAGATATAGTGCGTTTCAGATCCCCAAGGCAATAGACGCATTCGATTAGGGCAAAGCTAACAAAAAAGGCTTCACAAATATTCTATTGCCTATCCTATGGCTATGAAACGCACTGCGCTTTCTGGATTTTCCTGTCAGTTTGTGTGAACATTTTCTTGGTTTTTCTTGTTTCTTGTCATTTTCAGTTGCCTTGGAATTTTTTAGCTAAACTTGCTTCGAAATATTTTCTTTGTTTTAACATATTTTTTATAACGTTTGTTTCTTAAATTTGCTTATTTAAACCGTATAATTGCACTTTATCTTGTTTATTATTTAAGTTTGATTTTCCTTTTTACATCGATATTTTTCTTTTAGACTTTTAAACGTTGCGGAATTTATTTATAATTTTCACTTGTATAATTTTGCATTATAAAAGACTTCGCATTAGCTTTTCTTTTAATTTTGACTTGAACTGGTAAACATTATTCCAAAATATATACAACTATATATGTTCCGAACAGTACCATCGAGTTTGTCCCTCGCTTACTGTTTTCTATTTTCTGTATTCTGTATTATGTATTCAGTATTCAGTTTCTGTTTCTGTTTTAGTGATGTGTGCCGTAGCTTAAGAAATTCTTTTGGCCAAATGCAGTGTCGAGTTTCGAATCGACTGCATTGGCTTGTAGCTTGTGCTTGGTTTAGTTTTGTTTTTATCCGATCTGTCTACAATTTGTTTACATGGGTGTGTGTTGCTTTATCCATTGGTTTTGTCTTTTTGCATATGCCTAGCCAACATTATTTCAGAAAATGCTCTTCAAAATTTTGGATTATTAATCACAGATAGTGTGTCTAATATATATGTATGTATATAATAAATATGTATGTATACTTCAAATATAATTAAATTAGCAATAAATACTTTTTGATTTATTTCCATTCATTCTTTACCTACTTTCCCTTATATTTTCCCTTTCATTTTTTTCATATAATAAACATTTTTTAATTCCTTTTGGTTTGCAGAATTCTTCTCTAGTTTACCAAATGCATATTTGAATTAATTTTTTACATTTTAAGCCTTAACTTTTAATTTTGTTTTCCGTTTGTTTTTGATACTAAACCACAACATTTATGCACATCAAATTGAATTTGGGAGATTAGCCAATAAATATTTTTTTATCCATTCGCGTCGTGGAAATTATAATTATTTAAATGCCTTTAAATGATTTCAGTGTAATTATTAAACGCATTTTTGTTTACGATTTTCCACAAATTTCTTGCCATATCTTTCGTTTTTTCTTGTATTATAATTTACTAAATATTTTCAAATATTACCGACAATTTTCCTCGTTTTGACTTCCTTTAAATATATTGTATATCGTTTTTGTATGTTTTTTGACACTTACTAGCTAGCACACAAAATATGTTTTTAGGTACATTTATATATTTTTCATCTATTTTTCATTTACGCAGACATTTAGTAAGTGGTTTACCCATAGATAGAATTTCAAAGACAAACGAAATGTAGATACGTCAAAAGGAGGGCCAAAGATTAGGGGATTTAACTGTGTAAATATGTTTTGCGCTCCTGTAAAAGAGTGTGTAGAGTGTATAAGTACATTTAAATATATTTAGTTGCTCAAAATGATCATGTGTTTGGTTTGAGGTATACGCGTAGTGATGAAGACACACACATACATAAATATACAAATATATATCATATGGTATATAGTAATATAAAGACTTTATATATTTATGCTTTTCTTTTGGTGGTTAGGCGACTGTACATGAAATGTGTGTTCTCACATAAATTTTATTTTTTATTTTACTTTTAAGGGGCACAACTAGTGTGACATTTCAAAAAAATCTTTTTTTTTTTTCTTTCATATTTCGGTAGATTACACCTTTAAAAATAACATATAAAAATTTCAAATCGATATCTTAAATTGTTTTTGAGTTATAGCAATTTTAAGAGCAGCCGCTTGTATAGCAGTGCATACGATCATTTTATCTTTAAACGCGTTTTTCTCGAAACTGCATTTTCCGAATTTGCTGCAGTGATAACTCAAAAACTAATGATCCGATCACTATCAAATTTTTTTTAGATGTTCTATATATAGTCCTCCCTACAATGACCTATCGGTTTTTTGATCCGATCAAAAATCGAATTTTGTCAGGCCAAAAACAACCAAAATTTTGGGTAAAATTCGATTTTTTTTTTTAAAACGCCGCTATTTTGTCAATTTTTGATATTTTTTTTTATCGTAGGTCATTGTATGGACAATATCATCTAGTTTAACGAGAATTTTTCATTTTTTGATTTCATCCACGGAGAAGGCCGGAATCACTGCAGCAGTTGGGGCACTTTTTTTTTTTAGCGCCGTTGGAGATCGGCTCTAGCTTAAAAAATATTTAATTTTTTTCTTTAAAAATTTTACAGTATATTCTTCAAACATGTATAAATATATTCTGAAAATTTGAAAAGAATTGATCCAGTAGTTTTTTTTATAAAAATTCCCAAAAATCACCATTTTTTTAGGCCGTCACACTAGTTGTGCCCCTTAAGCCGAAATGTTGAAATTTTCGATTCAAATTTCCGTTTTAAAGCCTAAACACAGATAATTTTTTTTTAGTTTTTCATATATTTTTTTTTTAACACCGAAACATTTTAATTTTGCTTAATTTAGTTCAATACGTGTGCAATTTGTTTAAATGATAATTAACTCGTATGTATTTGGAGAAGTTTTTTAGGTTTTAATAGGGGTCTTGGGTTTTTTGAATTTGCTAAACGGAAGTTTAATTTGGGGACTCTTGTTTTTGAAATTTTGGTTTTACTCTGCGTTTGCGTTTATTTTGAATTATTATTTTGTGTGCTCTGTCTCGCTTTGCTTACTAATTTATTTAATTTGTAAATGTGAAGGCAGCTTTGTTTATTGATTTCCGTTTGTATTTTCATCATTTGAAATCATAAAAAATGTAGAATTTTTGTGGATAATTTTGTTTTGTTTTTCGTTTTGTTTTTCTGGTTTACTTTTGAATTTAGCTATTTCACTGATTTGGTGTCTGTTTCTTCTTTGTATTGTAGAGTCTTGTATTATTATTGCTTGGTTGGTTGTTATTGATCGGATATTGATGTTGCTTGTTTAGTATGGTCTTTGCTGTAGTTATTGTAGTTGTTGCTGGCTATACTCATTCTGTCTATGTCGAAGACGACTGCCTGGGGTCTTGGTCCTTATGAGCCGAAGTTTAGACTGTTAGAATCCAAAGAACTTCTATATAAATTGTGGAAAACATAAGATACTCTTATGGAATGTGCGAATTTCAGAGCTCGAGGACCAAGGAGCAGCCCAAACAGTCGTCGATTAAGTTGTTGGCTTGTAACTGCTTTGCTGATTTGCTGTTGGCTATATCTGTATATTTTCGCATTGGACTGCTGGTTCTGTTCAATAAAAATATACTCAACACAAAAATGCGGTTCGAAACGAAATGCAAAATGAAAATGGTTCTTGGTTTTGCTCAGTTTGTTTTTTGGTCTTAAGGTTTTAGTTTTAGTTTTGTTTTTGTTTTTCTTTTTGTTTTTCGTTTGCTTTTAAGAAAGTTTGTACAAGAGAATGCCTATTTGTCGATTGTCAAAACGAAACAAAAATATACATCGTACACTCCGGGGCACAAATGTATGTTTCTTCGCTTGCTGTTTTTTGATTTTTTTTTTTTTGTAGTTTTACCTTTGTTTTGTTTTTGTTTTTGTTTTCCTCCTACGCAGTTGATTACACATTTAACTAAGAGCTAGCGCACATTTACCACATCGGTCAGCTGGCTGGCGGCTGGCGCACATATAGTATAGTATCCTATATTCCTATATAGTGTTTCGTATGGTACTATCAAAAGACGTGGCTTGATTTGGTTTCTCCCCCTAGAAGCTGTAGTAGTGGGCGGCCAGCGGTGGCCAGGCGAACGCTGGATTGCCAGTGGCCATCGGCTGCTCCTATAACTGCTCCGCCTGCTCCACCTGCTCGGCCTTGATCGGCGCCAGCTTCTCGTGCAGTATGGAGCCCACGTGGCCGCCCGGACTGCCCGGAATCTCCGCCGCCCCCGCCTCCGATTCGCACTTGATGTGACTGCTGCTGCTGCCATTGAGATCCATGATTTTGTGGTGGTTCGGGTGGCCAACGCCGCCGCTCTCGCCGCTCTTCATGCTGCTGGCATCCGTCTCCGAGTCGTCCCGCGAGGTCATCCGGCTGCTCCTCCCGTTCCCATTTGCCTGGCCATTGCCACCTCCACCTCCGCTTCCACCGCCACTTCCCTTGCTGCTGTTCTTGTTGTGCGCCAGCTCGCTGTTGTTGTTGTTGATGTGGCCGGAGTGCTCCTCGTCGCTGCTGCCACCGCTGTCGGCGCTCAGCCGCTCCCGCTTGATGTCCGCATAGCCGCCGAGCGGACTGCCCGACCGCTTGACGCTCTCGCCGCTGGCACTCGAGCAGGTGGCGGCGTAGTCGTTGCTCCGGTGGTTGGTGAACGGCAGCGGGGTCTTCTTCACCAGCAGCTGGTCGAGCAGGGCGTGCCCGTGTCCATGGCCATGGCCATTGCCATTGCTGCTCCCATTGCCCGCCGAGCTGCCGTTGCCCTCGCCCGCCTGCAGCTTCTTCCGGATGATGCCGTCGTACATGTTCTCCGCCATCTCCAGCGCGCTCTTCATCGGTCCGTGGTGGTTGGCCGCCTGGGTGTTCCGCATCGCCTCCGTGATCCGGTTGAAGTCCATGCCGTAGGCGCTCGTGGCGTTCGGCTGCGGCCAGAACATGTTCGGCTGGAAGGACAGCTGCTGCGGACCCGCATCAAACAGCGGCAGCTTCAGCCCATTGGGCGTTGCTGCTGCGGCCGCTGCTGCTGCCGCCGCCGCCGCTGCCGCCGCCTGGCTGTTTTGGTTCTTCAGGGCATTGCTCAGCTTGGAGCCGCCGTGCGGCCCGGCCTTCAGCTTGTCCAGCTGCAGCTTGTGGGCCGGCCCGGTGAGGCCGGCGAGGTCGGGCTGCGGCTTGGGCTCCCGCTTGCGCGGCCGCATCAGGTGGCGCTCCTTCACCTTGTACTCGAGCGTCGAGTGCGGCACGCCGTAGTAGCTGCCCGCCCGGTGGACGGACATCTCGCCCCGCTGCACCGCCTTGACCGCCTCCACCAGGCTGTCGCGGTCGTAGTTGCGGTACTTGCCCCGCTTCGGCCGCGTTCCCTTGCCCGCCGCCAGGGCGGCCGCCTCCTGGGCGCTCAGCTGCTGCTGCTGCTGCTGGTGGGTCAGGTGGTGGCCCGGGTGGTGCTGCTGCGACAGCAGGTTGGGCGAGGCCCCGAACCGCGAGGTGTCCGTCCCTCCGATGATCTTGGCCACCGAAATGCTCGGCTTCTTGTAGCCCAGCGACGAGGATTGCCCGTTGTTGCTGCTGCAGTCGCTCACGTTCCCGTTGCGCAGTCCGTCCTGGCCGCTCTGCTCGTTGATCTGCCGCTGGATGTTGCTGGCCATCATCTTCTGGATGCTGGACGAGGAGGCGGCCACGGCCAGCAGGCTGTTGCCGGCGGGGTAGCCGCCCTGGGTCACCGCGGCCGCCAGCATGGGCGAGGCGGTGTGCGGACTGCGGTTGCTGCCGTTGCGGTGGCTGCTGCTGCTGTTGTTGCTGGCGCTGCTGCTGAGGCTCAGGCTGAGGCTGTTGTTGTTGTTCAGCGGGTGGTGGTGCGGGCCGCCACCGCCCGGCGACAGGCTGCTGCCGCTGACCTTGAAGGACGGAATCTTCAGTATGGGATCCTCGCTGGCATCGCCGGCGTCCAGCGAGGAGTTCGTCTCCGGAGTCTCCGACTTGGGCAGGCGATGGCGATAGCCGGCGACGTGGTGCTGCTGCTGCTGCTGCTGGTGGAGCTGCTGCTGCTGCAGCAGCGAGGCGTTGCCGTTGCTCAGCTCCTGGCTGGCGGGCATCATGCCCCCACTGTTGGCCACCAGGATGCCCTTGATCAGATCGCCCACCGTCTGCCGCTCGTCCAGCTTGGGCATGGCCCCAATCCCCGCGGCCAGCATCAGAGTCTGCAGCAGGATGTTGGCGTCCAGCATGGCCCCCTGGTTGGCACTCGCACTGCCGGCATCCGGGAGGCGCCCCATCTTCGGCGATCCCCGGTCGAGATCCTCGCCCAGATCGCTGCCATTGTGCTCGGACTGGTGGCTCAGCTTGCGGATCTGCGACCGGGCGAACTCCGCTGGGTAGGCTGGAGCGGGCGTCGAGGCGTTGCTGTCCACCTCCGCCTCGCCGTCGTCGTTGGAGTCGTCGGGCTCCTCGCCGTCCGGATCCTGGTCGAGGTCGTGCTGCATCTTGAACAGCCGGTTGTCCAGGATCGAACGCGGCACGTGGTGCTGGCTGGCGGCCTTCCTTGGCTCCATCTTGTTGGCCATCACGTCCTGCAGCGCCCGGTTCAGGTCCTCCTCGCTGTACGCCCTCCTTCCCGACGGCGTGGGCGTGGCACATGCTCTGAAGGAAATTTTAAAAGAATTTATGAGGGATTTAATACAAATATGTCTATTTAGACAAAGTTAAATCACTTACAAACAAATATATAAAATAAGTGTTTAAAAATTATAATCATAATCATTAGATATATTTTCCTGTTATAACCAGAACTTATACTATCTACAATTACAATCTACAATGCAATACAGTATTCCCAAAATCAACTACACCTAAGCAAGTGTTGATTGGTTATTGCTTACTTAACAACGTCATATTTTACTTGACGACCTCAGGTGTTTGCGATAAGATACGATTTTCTGGCATTTCCTTTTGGATTTCCCTCAAATACACTAGAAGGAGGGCCTTTCGGCGCTCCACCACCCAATCTCAACCGCTAAAAAGTCAGCAAGTCAATCAACTTTTATCTCCCGGCAATTTTCGTCAGTGGGTTCAGGATTCGAGGGTAATATTTTTTGGCAGCCCCATCAAAGAACTTGACAGCCACTTCCCTTTTTTGGCTTAGTAGAAAGTACTCCTTTTTCGGCACTCACACACACTCACACCCACACACACAAACACAGGGAGAGGGGCACTCGAGAGGACTGACAATGAGTGCTTCTTAAATGTCTGCAGCAGGCAGACGGGGAAAAGACGACACTGGTGTCAAAGGCAAGCCAAGGATGCTATGCAATCTTTCCCGTTTCCCCCATTTTGGTGGCCATTTTTTTTTGGGAAAAGACAAAAGATGACAAGTCAGGGGAGTCTGGCCGAGGGGAGATCAAAAGTGGGGTGGAGGGGTGCGGGCCTCGGACCAAATATGTTTTTGAAGTTCATTAGACGAATCCAAAAATAAAGAAAACCGAAAAGAGACATTTCGCAGGGAAGAAAAAAGAATAAGCATTTTTCACTTAATGCCAGCGCGAGCGTGAGTCCAAGCGCATTTCCTTCTACTCCTACTAACTCATCAGGAAGAGGCAACTTTTGTGTTCCGGCAACAACAGCAATCTTACACTGGGGAAAAGATGGGGTACCAAATGGTGGAATAAAATAATTTTAATATAATATCCTCCTTAAAGTAAATCAAATAAAATTTTAGAATATGTTGCAGTTGATTTGAAGTTTAACATTCAAATTGTTTTTAATGCACTTTAAATAAACATTGATCGCTTGTGCTTTAAGAATATTTGAATTACATTAATTTTTAAAAACATATTTTTAAGTGCATATTTTCGAGCTTTTAATATTTCCTGCACATGCTGCAATTTTTTCGAGTGCCGAAGCTGCACGAAATATTTCTTTTCTTTATGCGCAACCAGAAACGAGACGAGCTCGAGACCCTTTCTTTTTCGTGGGCGGCTGGGGACATTGCACCGGCAAGAAGGGGCGTGGCAGGGTGGTTTAAAAGGGTAAGGGGGGTGGGTGGTGGGAAAAACGCACAGCTTCTTTGGCGCCCTTCGCTGAGGGCTCTGTGGCACAACAGGAGGCGGCCCTGGCAAAAGTTGATGGCAAAGTCATAGCAACTTTTTTGCTTTTTTCGCCACCCCCTCCCTGTTCTACGCCCATTTGTTTCGGAGTCCTTGCGCGTCTGGAAAATGTCTGAAAATTGTGCAGACAACACAAAAAAAAATGCAGGCTAGAGGAAGAACAAGAAAAAGAGCCAAGCGAAAGCGGCAGCAGGTGGCAGTGAATGTTAAACTGTATGATAGCTGATGGTTTTTTGGTGGGGAGGCGGTCGTGGAAGTGGAAGTGGGAGGGTCAGGGGCGGGTTAAAAGGGGGTGGCGAGCGGAGGTGTGGCCCCGGCTGACCGTAAGTGGATTGGGCTGTGGGCGGTGGCATCATCATTAATGGCGACAGTTTTTCGCATTTTTGCTCATTTTGCATATACAAAATAATTTACCGAAAAAGGAAAGGCAAAAAAAAATTTGCATAATTGCGCAGAACCGAAAAATGGAGCGGGAAATCCCCTTTTCCCCTTCCTGCAAAGGATGTTGCGCGAAAAATAAATGAAAAATGTCATTTCAATGTCGTTTGGATTTTTTCGTTGGTGTCGTTTACCTTTTGGCTGCACTTCAATTGCAATTTGCCACTGCAACAGCCGTCGCTGCCGCTGCCGCAGTCGACGTCGCTGCCGGCGCAGTTGTTGTACAACATGCATGCATTTGTTGGGGCCTTTGTTGTTTTTGCCGCTGCACACGCATGTGGAGAGCATTCATTTGCACCCAAAAAAAGCAAAAAATATAAAGCGAGCCCCAAACCCTATTTTTCCTGCTTTTTTCCTCTTTTTCCGTTGGCGTTGCAATTTTTCTGACATTTTGTTTTAATTTGTGGCAGCGCGGCAAAAGGGTTGATTTTTTTTTTTGCCTGTGTGTGTGCGTGTGTGGACTTTTTTTTGTATTTTTGTTGTTGCCATTTTGACGCAACTGAAATGCATTTTTGTTAACAGTTGTTGTTGTTATGCGCATATTGCATTTTTGTCGGTTCATCCCACACCTTTTGTTTGGCTTTAGTCGTACATACGAACGTTAACATAAAGCTCCCCCACCTCTCAACCCCCTCATAAATGCTGGCTATAATTTTTGGTTCATTCCAGCAGGGAGACAGTTTTTTATTTCAGCTTTAACAGCAGTTATATTTGGCTAGGTAATTATGTAAGCACGGTAATTAAGGCGTGATTCCAAGGCAGAGGACAATCCAATTGTCAGGAATAATTAATTTGAAACATACGATTGACAAACATTTGATGAAATGAACAAAACCTTGTTCAGTAGCCTAGTTACTTTTCATTTCATCAAATATTTATATATTTGTTTTTGTAGATATTTAAAATTTTGCAATTGGCAACAGTTAATAAATAAACCACTATTTTGGTTATGCATTTTCGGCATTTAACTGAAGCCCTGAATTTTTTTATCTTTCAATTTGGTTGCGTGCTTGGAGGCCGCTAAATATGCGAGGGGCATAGTTGAAGGGAGGGGAGCCTCGCTGGCATTTCACTGGAGGAATGGAATGTGGGGTTAATGGCTGAGGGGGAGGTGCTGCGAATAGGGGTTTGTGGGCGGGGGAGCGGACTGGGAGGGGCAGCAGGAAGCCGCTGGCTCCGACGGGCGCACAATGCCGTCAACTGTCCCCCGTTCCAAACTGGCATTTTTTTTTGTGTGTGCACGAACGTGTGTGTGTTGACAACGTCGAATGCAATTTTGTTAAAAATGCATTAAGTGCATGTGTGTGTGTGTGTGACTGTGTGTGGGTATGAATGCAATTGCATGTTTGTTTTTGTTGCCAATGCAGTCCGCCCCACAGCGCCTACACTTGATGCGTGCGCAGCAAACCCGCCACCCCCTGCCCCACCCACTCCCTCATCGCCCTCCATTCCGCCAACGCTTCCCCCACACACACACACATACTGGTGCATACATCAACCCATACAAGAGCCAACCTCACACACACACATTCATTGCAGTTGCATTTTTTCGGAAGATATGCACTCATTTTTTTTCGACGCTGCTGCCGACGTCGACGCTGCTGCAGCTGCATTTTTGTATGCACTTACTTTATTTTTGTTTCTATCTCGCTCATTCACTCACGCATATAACGGCAATCAGGCAGGTTACAAAAAAGGCTGAACAACTTTTTTAAAGGACACCTTGTTATACCCTGGCCGTAACCAGAACCAATAAACCAAAAAAAATCTCGAAAAATATTGATAAAATATTATAGGGATAATCATAAAATGAACAAAAAATAAATCAAACTTTTTTTATCAAGTCCACTTCAAATTAGCTGATATGCAAATTGAAAACATTTTTAGTCTTAAAGAAATTGAAAGCTTGAAAATGTAAATGTATATATAAATAAAAATGCATTCAAATTTGACCGGGTCTATAACGGAGCCAGCCCGAATCGAGCCACCAACAAACACTCATTGAAATGACAAAAATATGGAGAAAAAAAAGTGAATGAGAGCGGTGAAGGGGAAGAGCACAGAAAATAAAATAATGAAACCAAGGGGGATCCATGAAACCGTTAAAAAATTGCTGCCCTCCAACAATAACAATCGCAATGGCCAGTGCACGCATTAACCTTTTGTTGCTGTTGTTGTTGGTGTACCTTATATATTTCGCTCATTTTTTGTACTTTTTGTTGTTGTGTGTATTTTTTGGGGCCAAACGCAGCCGACTGCGCTGCCGACGTCGACGTCGTCGTCACTCTTTGCCAGTTATTACGTTCGCAATCTCTCTCGCTTTTTTTTCGGTGTCGGTGTGTGCGTGGGGAGAATTTTTCGTAAACGAAAAATAATGAATATATACCCAGCGACAATCCCCTGCCCAACCAATCCTTAACCCGCCGAAAGTGCATAGAAAAAAGTAGCAAAGAAGAAAGACCAAAAATGCGAAAAAACACTGACACTGATACACGGGGAGAAAAGGCTAGTGAAAGCTGAATATTACTTTGAAAGCCCTCAGCATGCCTTATTTTGATCATAATAATTTAATAAAAATGTTTGGCCTTCTAAAACATTTTTAATTTAAAAAGATCCCTAATTATTTCTAATTAAAGAATTCGGTCTTTTAGATGTCATTTCCTCAGTGCACACCCACACATAGAGAAAGTAAAACGCAGCTTGCAAAAAAAAGCGATCGATATGATGCACTCATTTTTGTCTGCTGCGCTGGGCGACGTCGGCGTCGCTGCTTCAGCTGCTGCTGCTTCGAGGAGCGACGCCGTCTCATCATCCTCGGCATCATCAGCCTGAAAAAAATCTGTAATAATAAACGCTTGACGAAAAAAAAACTCCAAAAATTGCAGCGTCAGTGGCTTTTGTGCTTCAAGTGGTTTGATGGTCTGAGTGGGTTGCTGCCGGGGGAGGTTTTGGGGTGTGAGGTCGGGTCTCGGTCATCTGGTTTGCCCCATCGATGAACACTTTGGTCGATCGTTGTCTAATGCCTTCTTTTCAGCTTATTTAAAGCAAGTCCAACAACATACAACAATAATTTTAGGTAGCTAACACATCTTTAACATAAAAATAATTTTTTATTATTCAGAAAATCTACTGAAAAAATAATTTTATGTGAATAACATAATTAAGTTCATGATCGAATTAAAATAAATTAAATTTATATTGCTGGATATTAAATATTCCAAATTAATTGGTCAACAAATGCTTTTCAAATTCTAGCTCTTTTCTTGAAAACTTCAGATTTTCTTACTTCTCTTTTCTTGCTTTTCCTTGCTTAAAAATGACTCCCCGTGTCCCTTTCGCTCCTTTTTTCACTTCCTCTAACCCCTTATGAATTCATGGCTTTTTGTACACTTTTTTGACACATCCTTCTCGCTTTTTTTGTGTATGACAATTAAAATAGGTGTACGAGATGGTGCATGGCGACGATGGCGGCTGCTAACAAACACTTGGCCATGCTTTAGACAATAGACAAGGACTCGTGCTTTGCGGCTCAAGTGGCAGCCGCCATCGTTGCCACAGTCGCCGCTGCATCAGCCAAGGAGCAAACGCAAAAAAACGAGGAGGAGGAGATCCAGCCAAACCAGAAGCAGAACCGCAAACAACAAAAAATCCCACCGAAAAAAGTAATGACAAAAATTGCTGGGAAGTGCTGCGAAATTATGCACACGCTCTGTCGTCTGAAGTGCACACCTACACCTGCACCTACACCTACGCCCAAAGTAATAATAAAAGGTGCTGCTGAACATTTTAGAGTAATTAAAAAAATAGCAGGCAACAAAACACAAAAAAAAACCCACGAAAAGCGAATTGAAAAAAGATTGCGGAGCCGCTGAAGGAGTTAAGATGCAGCCGCACAGAACGGAATACATAAATCCGGCATTCTTCTTTTTACTTGCACATATAATCCTTGTTTTTCTTCTTTTTCGGAAGATTTAATGTAAATTTATGCAGCCCACCTGCCTAACGCTGGTAATTAAGCGTGGCTGCAACGGGGCGTATGTGTAATTTTCGGCATCGTTTCATAAACCGCACTCACACTCACACACACTCAGCGGGCAGCGGTATAATTGCACAATTTTTACATAGGCTCACAACAATAAAGCTTCAGCTGCCACAGCATCAGCATTTGCGGCAGTGTGTGTGGCCGTGTGGGTGTGCTGGTGTGCGGGTGTGAGAGTGGTGCTGCCCCGTTAAGTATGCTACAGTAAGTGCAGTGTCAGAGGCGGCGGGCCAGCGCCCAAAGTGCAATTATCTCATGTATTGTCTGCCACACGATTCGGTGTTTTTTCCGGTTTTTTTTGGTGAGCATAATACCCTACAGATATTTTGGGCTAATCAAGCATTTGTGGTTCAATGACTCGAATGCAATTTATAGGTCTGGGGAGTCATTTCAATGGATAAATGAAAAAAAATGATGATGATTACTCCAACAGAATGTCGAAATAAATAAATTAATTATATTAAATTTGTCATTATATATGTATATTAATCACAAAATTCAAATCGTACTAATATTTTAAACAAATGACGTTGTCAAGTAATTTGTGTATATATTTAACGGAATAACTGGAACATAAAAAAGAGCATCGCTTGTTCGCTTGCCTCCCAAAAATATATATAAAATATATTACTCCCAAAAATATTCCACCTTTTTTTCTCTCTTTTGGTTTTACATGGAATTCTGCTTTTTTCGTATGTATTGTGCTGGGGTTTTTTAATTTTTTTTTCGGCGTTTGCGCAGATTGCCAGATTTATATTGAATACATGCTTATACATAGGTATTTATGTGCTGCAACCCCCCGCCCCCTGCGGGAATAAAGGAAGGGGTAACCCCGATTCGGCACTCACCTGACGGACTTCACATCGCCGCTAATCGATGAGTTCGGCGATGGCTTGCTGCTAAGATCGAGCGGTGCATCTGCACTGGGACTGGGCGTATCTTTGAGTGCGGGACTGATTGCGGCTGCAGATACTTCTGAGGTAGTTGGCGTCACCGAGCTAGCGATCTGTTGCTGTTGCTGTTGCTGCTGCTGTTGCTGCTGCTGCTGTTGGCTGGCCAGCGAGTTGATCAGGTTGAAGTCGGCCAGCAGCGAGAACTGCGCCAGGTGGGCGGCCATCGAGTCCATCGATGTCATCTTGGCTGCCCGCTGGGTCAGCAGCTTGTACAGTTCGAGCGAATTCGCGGATGTTGCCGCTGTTGGTGTTGCTGTTGCAGCAGCAATGTGGCGAGCCCTGTTGCCACTGCTGTTGTTGTTGGTGTTGCTGTTGCTGTTGCTGTTGTGGTGGGGCAGTGATGTGCTCGAGTTGCTGTCACTGTCGTGCTGCAGGGAATAAAGAAATAAATAAATGGGATAAAATATATACAAATTGTTTAAAAGCAACTCCAAAATGTATCTAAATATTGTTTAGTAGTATATGTGGCTTAAAGGGTAGTTGACCCACCTGATGAATGTGGCTACTACTAGTGCTGCTGCTAGTGGCTACGGTTTCGGCCACCAATTCGCCCTGGGCGTTCACCGTTAGCAGGCGACCGTTAACACAGAAATTGCACTTGGCCGACGGTCTCCAATCGTTGGGTTCTGGCGGTGGTGATGGTGTACTGGTGGCTCCCGGTGATGGTGTACGTGATGAATCGTGTGATGTTTGGTTGTTCTCTGTGGATTATCAAACTTAAAGAAACTATATGTAAGTATATGATATTTTACGTACCAAAATCTTCTTCCAGCAGCTGACTGCCGTTGTGGTACTGCTCTAGACGGTGGTTCTCTGTTTTACAGTGGTTGGGTTTGCTCTCCTTGCTGCTGTGGTTGTATTGCGGTGGCTCGTCCTCGGAACCTTCTATTGCTATGGGCTGTTGCTCCTCGATATTCAAGTGGCTGCGCGTCAGTTGCTCTTGATAATGTTTCCATTGCCGGCGACCCATAAATTCTTCAGCAACGCGTTCTAGGCCTGAAATTGGATTAGGAAAAATATAAAATTTAGTTATATGTATGTAGAAATAACAAGTTTCAGGCTTTTTAAGAAAAGTTTTAAAAATGTCAACCCCAATAGGAATTCGCCATTCGAATTACACATTCGTTACTTTGTAAGAAGGCTAAGCTCAGGTGCATTAATTATTCAAAAAACTTTTCTGAGCAGTTCGAGAATGTTATGCCAGTTGCATGGCTTAATAAACTATAATTTGCCTAGTGGTGGCAATTAATGAACCATTTTTTACTTGCCTTCAGTCAACCCAAGCCCCATTTCTTTTCCTCTCCTGGGAATTTTAGCAGACAGAAATTACTTAATTGAAATGCAATGCCACTAAGTATAGGAGAAAAATGCATGTAAAAATCGAAAAGAAAAGAAAAGAAAAAGAAGTGAACAACTTTGACGGGTGCACTATACTTAGAAGGGCACACGCTGCGTATGCGTAATTATTGAATACGAAATGTGTGCGAGTGGAAAATTGATAGATTTGAATGTTTACATTGGGGCGACTGGCTGCATTTCCTAGCACATCCGTCTTGGCCAGCCCGAGAGCTCTAATTGCCGCACAAAAGTTATGCAATTTAATGCAAAATGCATTTGGCCAGGGAGTGGGAGAAAGCGGTTGGAGCCTAACCCCGCCACTTGAAGGGGCAGGCATGCGTGGCTCAAAAGCAAAACTTTTGCGCATATGGCAAAAGGCTACGCGTCAACTCACACGAAATGCGAATTAAAGGAGGGCCAGCGGAAGGAAAAGTACGAAAAAAAATGTACGGCAGACCAAATGTAAAAACGAAATGGTTGGCGGAGGGGTGCGGGGAGTCCCGGCATTTTGTAGCATTTTTACTGCCAAAAATACGTGTTGGAGGTAAAAGTTGCGTGTATTTTTTAAACCGGAAGTTGGAACGAAGCAGCGTTCAGAAATTCTAACAGCCCCCGATGTCCTTGTTGGTGGCCCCATCGTCCTGATTGCGCACAAGTGCGTGTGTTCGGTGCGTGCGTTTGGGGAATGGCAACTTGGGGCTCAAGTGGAGCAGCAGCAGCAGCAGGAGCAGGACGAACTGCTGCGGGAGTGGGGAACCATCGACGCACTGCAGCTGCAGCTGCTGCTCATTCCGGCGCAAAAGTGGAGCGGCATGTTCAAACTTTTCGCAGTGTAAAAATCGCATTGCTTTCCCAGCTGCAACGGCAACTGCAGTTTTTTAAGCGCTCAAATAAACAGGGTCGTCGTCGTCGTCGCCGTCGTCATCGTCGTCGTCGTCGTCGTCGTCGTCGTCATCGTTGTTGTTGTCGTCGTTGTTGTTGCCGTTGTCGTTGTGTTAGCGCTCCGGGGGTTGCGCCTCCGCCTACCCGCCGTGCCCCGCTTTTCCGAGACTTTCCACCTGCCGCACGCACCGAAAAAAGGCGAAAAAACGAGGTGAATGCACGCACGGGACGTACAAAACTCAAACTTTAAAATGCAACCAGTCCACAGACACACGCCTGCATTTTGTCGTTAAAAAATTCAGCGCGCACGAAAAGGAATCGTGCACGATACGTAGATGCCCTTCAAGGAAATGTGTTACTAACGATAAAATGGATAAAACTATAAATACGAAAGTAAACAAAACTCTTATTGAATTATTTGATCTTTTTATCGATCTATTCTATATTCCAATTATAATGATGATAAAATCAAATATTCATCTTATGTTTACATAACCTTTACCTATCGATAACCCACTTTTTTTTTAGCGATACCCAGCTAATTTCGAATTCCTCCCGAATATCCCCACCAATCTATTGTAACAATTAGCCGTGGCTTATCCACTCCCCCGTCGTTAGACTTGTAATTCCTATTCATTACAAACCGAGCCACAAATTGCAGTCGGCCATCTGCGGACGAAGGGTGCGTGTGTTTTCAGCGAAGGAAACCCTACGCACTGGCGAAATGCAGGGGTTCCTCTGCCTGTGCTTCTTCTTCTTCTTCTTCTGCTGGCTCTGCCAGATGCACATATACACTCACACCCAGACCACTCGCACACAGTCAAGTACAATGCACGCACGCAATGCACTCACGCACACAGTCAGTGTCTGCCGTGTTTTGTCTCTGGCTGAATGAGTGTGCGTTTGTTTTGTGCATGTGGTCGGGGCGACACACATTGCGTATGAAGATGACGACGTCGACGGCCGCAAGGCGGGATTTCAATGCTGTTCTGGGTATGGGTTTCGGTTCTGGGCTTGGGCCCTGTTTCTGTTGCTGTTTCTGTTTCTGGGCCCGCTTCGGATTTTGCTTCTGGGTCTGGTCGACGGTGGTGCCATCATCGCTGTCTGCCCGCGCTCACATTATGCCAAGCAAGCAGCGCTCGAATGTATGCTAAATAGAATTTTTCGCTAGTCCGCGAACTAACAGTGAACACCTCAAAAGGTGATTAATGTACTTTTTTTATTGTTACATTTAAAGCACTTTGTGCAGGGTTTTGAATAGCAATCCACTCTCAGTGTAGTTTAAATTTAAAATCGAATTAAATAACGGTTTACGGTCCTATGAAATATTGGTTGCTATTATTATAAGAGTTCAGTTAAGTTCTCAAAGCTCACTTTAAATTATTCCTAGTTCAACCTAAGTTGCGATCCCTGTACATAGAAAATACAAGAAAAATGGGTGTATGCCTTTGGCTTAGACGCCGTCGATGGGTAGGTGGTGTGACCTATGACTGGGTGTGTGTGTGTATGTTTGAATAGGTGCAAGTGTGTGTGTGTGTGCGAGAGAGTTTGCCATTCAAGGCAACGCAACGTGACACGTCAGGTGGGCTGGTGAACTGTGGAGATTGGGCTGAGGATCGGGCGGCAGTTTGGGATTGGGTTCGCCTTCCGTCTGCCCATCCTGTCAGTCGGGCTGTCGCCCTGTCTGTCCGATTGTTTGCTCTAGGGTCGCTGCGGTGCGGTGCCCTAAAACCTACAAACTACGACAACAACCGACGGACAAACAAAAACGAAAGTGCGTTTAATCAAAGTTAGCTATTAAAGGCAAATGGCTAAACTAATTGTGACCCGCCGCAGTGGGGCGTATGATTTATTTGCATTTTGTGGGGGGGATTTTTTTTGCACTCCGCCTGTTTATACCTTAAACCCACACTAACCGAAAAAAATTGAAGCAATTAAACACGGAAACTCATTTACACACACATACGCTTAACGAAAATGCAAATGGCATGCGCCATGAGAGAGACAACGCATGAAAAGTGGCAAAAGAAATGGGCGAAACGGCAACGGCAACAGCAACAGCAACAACTACAAAAACAAACAAAAAACAAAAAAAAAGAAACGAAACGAAAAAATGCAATTATCGATTAATGTACCACATTATATGTCCCGTGTACATGTGTGTGTGTGTATGTGTATGTGTGGGGAGGCCTGCAAGTAGATAAGCCCTTATGTACACATGGTGCTTATGTACAGGCATCCGTAGGTATGTTCGGCCAGAAGTCATTAAAAAATTGTTTTTTTTTTCTCCCCAGCCACGGCTGGCAGGCTCATTGAGCTTTATTCAATTCCCATCCTTAAATTTAATTTTTGGGTGGCCGGAGCGAGGGGGGCCGTCAAGTCGCTTACATAAGCAAATTACTGTAATGACGATACATAATATGTTGTCTCATTGTTGCAGATGTCATTTGCATTAAAAGATGTATATAACTGCATTTTTGTGTGTGGCACTTTTTCGAGCCATGTGCTGCATTCTGGCCCTGCCAAGAACATGACACACAAGACAGAAACAACGCCAATTTGACATTTTCCTGCACCTCGCCTCGTTTTGGTTGCAGCTCTTTTTGGCGTAATGCGTGCCGTAATCAAATGTCAAAGTTGCCGCCAGCCTTGGAGGCGCATACGTAATATTACGTATACGCAGTGCAATTTTCAACTCATAAATTTTGCATTAGCCGCACAAACATAGGTGTTGGGCACATGTTACCATTCACAGATAATTAGATTCTAACAGCACGTGGCTAACGTTTGATTGACCTATATTGGAAATAAAAAGAAAATCCACTCTGAAAAAGCAATTAAAACTATATTGACTGGAATAGTCAAGAAATGTAATTTACTTTTTGTAATATTATATACTCCCTTTAAGGCTCTCTGCTTTTAACATAAAGCCAAAAACCTTTCTTAACTAGAAGTCCACTAAAAATTCTTTAATTAGAAATTCAACATATTGTGGTTATTTTTGTTGCAGTTGCCGTTTGCCCACCGCGACACGCCATCGTGTTTTGCATAACATTTTGAGTAATGTCTAATGTCAACGTACTCCCATCTATGTTCGGGGGTGGGACCAACTGCTTTTCCGCAGTTCAAAGTTGAAAGGCGGGGGAGGAAAAGCCAGCTCGGCAGCCGGCCGGCGTCACATGTCCTGCCGCAACAACAAATTGGTTGGAGCGAAGCAGCGGGAACAATGGTAAAAGCCGAAAGTGCGGCTACGAAATGAATTTGGCTAAGTCACAAAAAAGCGGCAGCAGCAATGCGTGGAAAAATGAGCCAAGCACTTGGAAAATAAAAGCCTTGACTTAATATTTTATTAAAATCAAATGGAAACTTATTATTATTATTAAACTTATTTTTTTTTAATTTTTATAGACGTTTGACTTTATAGTAAAATTAGTTACATTATATTTTTTCTAGAAAAAGCCAAGGCTTCTTTCACGAGTGTTTTCTCCACGTGCAACCTTTTAGGTTCCGTTTTTTGAGGTTCTCCGCTAGAAAGGACATGCGACTCCTGCGTGCCTGAGGCCGAAAATTGTGGCCAACTTGTATGGCTGAAAGGGGTTAAGAAAGGGGCAGTGGCAGCGCTGAAATGTAAATGAATTGCACTAAATGCAAGGACATACGCAGCACACACACACAAACCCAAACACATACACACACAAATGCATGTCGGCTGATGAGTAGGACAATTCTAAGCAGGCAGCGTTGACAGGACCTGCCCCCAACCCCTCCGTTCGGGC